TATGTTGTTACTTCGGCATCATTTTGAAACGTGTATTACAATTAAATCACGGTCAAATATGTCCATCTTGTTGTAGTTGTAGCCCCCTTGCCAGCGATGCTCTCTCTAGTTTAGCATACTCAGCCCGACTCAGCCTCGTTGTCTCTGGCCCTAGACCCGCGATTTTATGAGGCCAGAAAAACTGTGAATTAGGACCCGCCGGCCGGTACTAGGCCAAGTGGAAACGCAACCAAAGACGGGCCGCTGACGTCACAGCCCTCTTAAACCGTGCTCCGCGCTGTAGTGGAAACGCGCCATAAGTGCTGGGAACTAAGTACGGCAAAGTACTTGGTGTGAACGCGGCTAATGGTGCTCTAGGAGGAGATTCAGGTGATAAGGTGGGGAGGGGGGGGGGGGGTTACCTTGGTTGGTGATTGGTTAATGGTTACACAAGCCAAAAAATCGTTATGACATCATAAAGTGGCCAAAATCTGATCAGCTCATTTCCAGACAGGTTTTTATATAAAATGGATCAGGACAAAAAGTGAGCGAATCTTTTTTCCTGAAACTTTCAGAATCTCTTTACACGAGGGGATGTTTAAAATACATGAAAAAGTGGATTTTGCATAATAGGTGACCTTTAAGATAAAAACATGCTTATTTATTATAAATACAAAGTTGTGATATTTTCTTTTGCATTCTTACCAAGCAGCCTTTCACAGAGCCATGGAGCCCACAGGAGGGCCTTATCTTGTGGGGAAGAAGGATGAACTGATTGAAGCAAAGCGCTCTTTCAGAACACTAGAGGGGCGGGACATATTGATCATCTACCACCAGAACGACTTCTATGCTATCGACTCTTACTGCTATCGTGAGTTCAGTTTTTCTTGTGCTTGACTCAAAACAATTAATTCTTAGAGAGGGAGATGGTGATATATAATTGGCTGTTAAACTTCATCCAACCAACAGTCAGTCTAAATCTAATCTTTTTAGCCAAAGAACAATTAGGCACATTTCACCTTTTAAAATGTGTCCACTCAGCAAAATGTTGTGTGTGCTGTGTTTGCTTATTCTGCAATACACTGATCCTGTTCCCTTCTCAACAGACGCTGGGGCAACACTGCAAAATGGAGACATTGAGGTGAAGTTTATATTTATTGAAGAGATTAGAGGTTGTTTTTGTGTCTGACCCAGGGTTAAGGAGCCAAAAATGCCAAGTTTGACTGTGCTTTTGTGTTTTCACCACAGTCATGCTTTTACCAGCTATGCCATCTGCATTATAGTCCTTGCAAGCAACTGCTGGGCTAATACATATTATTACCTTAATTAAGACATCAAACCTGAATAAAATTAATGTTATGCTAATGTTGAATGACTTAAATGACCTGCATTTATCCAACATAAGGTTGTTTACCTGTTTTCTGTCAACACTCTTACAGGAATTTGACGGCAAGATGTGCATAGTTTGTCCGAACCACAAGTACAAGATCTGTCTGGCCCAAGGGGAGGGCATTTACAAGGCCAGAGACCCCAGGGAAAAGCCGTCTGTGCTCAGATGGTTCTCCAAGGGTGTGAAGCAGCGGACTCACACGGTCACTGAGAACAATGGGGATGTCTATGTCAAGCTTTCTGAGCAAAGAGGCTTCATCGAGTCAGACTTCTACCAGGGAGAGAAGGGCAAGGTGGAAAGGGAAAAAGCTGCGGCTGCTGAGAAGAAGAAAACTAAATAGTGTAAAAGACGGAAGTCAATGGATCCTCTAAATTATTGTATGATGAATCTACTTGGTGTCAGATGTTTAATGACGGATACAGTATTGGGTCTTGTTTATCTTGATCATAGTGTTTACATTTGTATTTGTGGCTTACATTATATTTAAATGTTGTACTTAAAAATAAGGTCCCATCTTTTAAGGTGGACAGTGTCAACTTATTTTACAGAATAAACTTTTTTCACGAGTGAATTTGATTCTATAGTGGTATGGAGCAGCTAAATGCGTACCCACACTGGTGTATCCCTCTGCATTACAATATCTCTCATGTATTATGCATACAGCGAATGAATCAATAAGATAAAAAGGTTTAGTCTGGTCGATAATGTCCTAAAGTGGAAAATCGTTAATGTAAAATATAAAGATCATATGATGGCCATTTCTGGTAATAACTATGTCTGTTCATTCCCTGAGATTACATCAGAAAGCACCAGTTTCAGGTCACAGGCTGCATGGGTTTCGTTTGTGACATATTTCCCGTACATTGGCAAATAATTCCTTGAGCAAAAGCAAAAAATAAAATAAATTACTTTGCTGAGGACGCCGTACCAATCCCTGAGGTTGTTGATTGACAGCAGCTTCAGTCAGGTATACAGTGGCTGGCTCATGGGCTCCGTGCTGCAAACAGAAACTCAGTTTTGTTTTGTTTTGAACATTCAACATCCTCCACTAACTCTTGCCGAGACAACCAGTGTAAAGTGAGTGTATTTCCCAAAACGTCAAACTTTTCCTTTCATGGTCATGATGTCAGAATCATCTCAAAATCTGATTGTTTTCTGATGCAGTAATTACATTACATTACATTACATTGCATTTAGCTGACGCTTTTATCCAAAGCGACTTACAATAAGTGCATTTGTTGTGCATAATGTTGTACTTAAAGAATAACTAAAGGGATTCAAAACCTTTTCAGGAAATGTGCAACCCTGCAAGAAACAGATTTTTAAAAAACGGTCAAAATTGGTGCTACTATATCTTGACATATGATGGTACAATACGGGATTTTGATACCAATAATTTACATTTATATTATTATAATATTATAAATATTATGAATCATAATTTGTTGCAAAGAAATCCTAAACTAAACAAACTGTGTAAAGTAATTTTGTGATAGTTTGTTGAGCATTTGATGTAAAGAGTCAAGACAGCCAGTCACATCCAGATTATTTCTTTGTTTTTAAAAGCCATGGTGCAGTGTAACCCTGACATGACCCAAGAAGAACTGCAAAGCCATGGGTCAAGAACAGTGAGGCTAAGGGGTTTATGATGTTCTTCTGTGCATGAATGATGCTGCTGGTCTCGAGCTGGCCTACAGCAAACTCCTCTGTCTATGTGACGCATCGAATACAATCACGAAATGCACAGGGCCCTGGGTTACATGGAACAAGGGGGTGAGCACTTCTGCAAAGTTGAATTGAGAATCTGGAGGTATTATTATGCGCAGATGGTCATTTGCAGTAGGTCAAGTGGAGGACTCTTTGTCAAGATAAAGAGCAGACTGTCAGGGGAAACCTGGGGGAAACTGCCTAGCAGGACTAGAGGATATTATTCCAGAGGGAGAGTAAGGCACACCATGTAGCACTAAATAAGTCTTTTAAACCAAAGGCCTACATACTCTCTGTAGGTTTTATGCATTGCATTATTTATTGTGATTATCAACAAGAGAGGCTCTGATAAAACCTTTAAGGCTTGAGCTATTTTTCCTCTCAAAAAGCTCGGAAAACCCTGGAGTTTTTCCAAGAGGGAATACCAAAAAACAAAACACCCCTAAAGCCTGTTAAAGTTTATATTCTTGCTATATCAGCAAATTCTCTCCTTACACATTATGGTTGTCAGTATTATCACTATGGTTGACATTCAACCCCATGCTCATACATCTTAGCAATTCTTTTTGTGTCTTTTCATGTGGATGAGTTCAGTGTATATGTCACAAATTGAAGTTATTAGCACACAGTGATGGAAAAAGTACTCAGATCTTGTAGTAGAATTACCACTGAGTAGGAATACTCTCTTACAGTAAAAGTGCAAAAGAAAATGTTTCTCAAGTAAAAGTAGAAAAGTATTGGTATCAAAATATACTTAAAGTACTCATTCTGCAAATTGGTCAATTTCTGAATAATATGATATGATATGTTTTGATTGTAATTATTGATGTATTCATGTGTTTATCAAAGCTGGTAAAGGTGCAGCTAGTTTTAATTGCTTTATACTGCAGGGTACAGTAGCTTGTGAATGTTACACCAGGTGTAGCTCAAGTCTTATTTAAGTGTTGATAATATTTCCCATTATTATTCCAAATGTACAGTAACTAAAGGATACTCCATAAAAGTTATTGAGTAAAAGAACAATATTTACCCCTGATAGTAGCAAACAATTGAAAGTAAAGTACAGTTACCTCAAAATTGTACAGTACTTGAGTAGGCCTACATATACTTAGTTACTTTAAACCACTGTTGGACTCATGATTTTGTATTGCATTCACCCGAGGAAGCTCATGTTGTACTATAATTCGGAGGAGAAATAACCAGCTATGATAAGACTAAAAGGTTTGACTGAACGAAAAATCGAAATTCCGGAATGTCTACTGCACGAGGTTGTTTGTGTGTGTTGACGCGCGCTGCTTCTACGTCTGTGTCCGCGTGCGTGTTGCTGAGTCAGGCGAGACCGCTCTCTCTCTCTTTCTCTTACCCTCTCTCTCCAGTTGCTCTTTTGCCAGTGAGACTTTGTTTTATCCGCCGACGTCATTCATATGGTCTGGACGCCGAGGCGCGAGGCTGCCCTCTCCTCGTCGCTAATTGTATTTCCCACCGTCTGACAACTTGTTTTTGTGTTAGCGCATTGACTGCCCATGGGCGCTGCTGTTCACACACACCGTGCTGCTGCTGCTGCTGCTGCTGCTGCTGCTGCTCCGCCGGCTGTCCGGTGCGCCTCTGCGGTCGGTTCGGGATGGTATTGGGCTCTTCCTTTTATGAATGAATAACAAAACTGGGGGGAAATGCGAGTGACAGCGAAACTCCCCAGCAGCCGTGCTCCCAGGGGGCCAGCCATCAATGATAGGGATTAAGGACGGAGCCGAGCCGCGGCTCATTGCGGAAAAGCCGACTGCAGACTGGAAACGCACCGTGAGGGACACGGGCTCCATAGCGTGAACAGAAAACCGCGGTGACCACAATGTAAGTTGCTCTGGAGCGGCAACTCATTAAGGCATGGGAGGAGAGGGGGGCTTCCTGGTAGGGTTGCATGCTTTATTCTTGTCAGTATCACTGCTTGATATTATCCATCACCGAAAATATGTGTCAAAGTGTGTGATTTATTGAACCATAAATCCCTCTCTCAGGTGTAATAAGGGGCCTTGGCAAAGCTTCTTCTCAGTCATTGTCAGTGACATAACGGTGATGCACTGGCTCCGTGATAGACATGAATAATAAGGACCTAAGCAAACAGAGGTGCCTCCTCTGCCTCAGTGCTATACATCTGGATCACCATCATGGTGATGTGCAGCTTGATTCAAGTCACTTACAACAAACCACATGGCTTACAGGTCCATCCACATCGTGGCTCTGGGCAGCGAGTGCCCCGGAGGAGTGGGGCCCGGGGAGGAGATCATGGGCCAGGGGCAGCTGCAGGGAGGCCTGCTGTGGAGCTACCTGGGCCATGGAGCTCTGGTGGGACCCTGCGACCTGGAGAGCAGCATGCACAACCCGGCCTTCATGGAGTACAGCTCCCTTGTGTTTGGAGATGTCACTGTGGTGGTCCGGGATTGCCCCAGCTGGGTAAGATGCTTATAGAAGAGAAAAAGAGACCACTTGCATGGGTTGATACAGTGTGAATCATTGCCCTGCTCATTCATGTGTCTTTTTCTTGATTTGCAAATGCTATCAGATCTACTTTGTAGGTGTTTCCTTCACACCTTTCTGCTTGTGTGCTACTAAACAAGTCACGTTTTGCACAGGACAGTTAGAGAATGAAAAACATGCCATACAAAAGGTCTAATTGTGTCACATCAATTGTCATTGTGAAAGAGTGTCACTCTGATGACATGCTATTTACTTTCTCACTCTGCTTCTATTTCTCACAAGCTGTACAACATTTCAAATTCCAAGGCCACTTGCTAGTTCAAGCTCTGATTGCAGGCTTTATAGAAATCACTCTATTCTTAGCAGGGTGCTATTTTAACATGCACTGCACAAACACAAAAGTTAAAGAAACTTGGGTTCTTAATGGAATATGAATCTGACTGTTGTTTTTAAAGCAGCAGTGCACACTTCCTATTATAAGGCTGTCAGTCTCAATTCTATGGCTCTTTGTCCTTGTTTTTTATTCAAATCGCTGAAAGCTTTTTTGAAGGGTTTTTTCTGCTCAGGCTGGTTTACAGTTAGCAGCTATAGCCTTGCAGGTTCTTGGGGGTAAAGTCCCAAGTGTTACACTGAGGTATTTATTCGTAGGGAGACTCAGAGGGGAAGGATTAGAGTTGCCTAGGGTAAGCATGATGGTAAAGGTTGGGTATTCTGACCATTTTCTATATTGCCTTGTTCATAACTGTTCTCCTCTTGCCTTTGCAGGACTTGTTGGACAGTGATTGGGCCAGTGTACGGAAAGTTCTTGAGCAGGCAGACATCCTGGTCATTAAATATTCAGTCACCGATAAGCTGGCCTTCCAGCAGGTCCGAAACGGCTACGCCCCGAGACTCCGCCCTCTCCTGAGACACTGGGGTGTGCCGGTCATCCTGGTTGCTGTTGGAGCACGGCTAAACGGTGAGTATTCTCTTATTTCTGAGTAAGTTGAGATTAGCCTACAATGCTCTGAGAACTAATGACTCCTCAAACAGGCATTGTTGTACAGGAACAAAACGACTTATCTCTCAGCCATTGCATTTGGGAAAATGGTGTTTGCGGGGTGATAAGCCGCTGCCTGAGTTATTGAGTTTGATTGCAGGACAATACCATGTTCTTCTTGCCTGGTCAGTGGGATCACTGCTGGAGCCTTGCGTCCTCTAGTGTGTCCTTCCTGCAATGTGGAGGATATGCTCACAATTAAATCTCCTCTTGGCTGCCTCTGGGCGGTCAGCTCAAACGCTTTCCTGCAGGAAACACACCAAAGAAAGACACTAAGTTGATCGTTTATGACCATAAAAAGCCCTGCAAGCAGACAAGAACTTGTACAGCTGTCGTTTCATTGAAAAGTGCAACACAACAGTAGCTTGTCGATTAGACGCTTTACCAGCGGCAGCTTAATGCAGCGCAAATTACAAACATGTATGCTGGTACCTCAGTGTGTCTGCATGTGATTGTGCACACACACTGACCCTTCTTGATTCCAGATTCTGTACAGACGCTCATCAAATGCACCAGGTAGTATTTTTAGCTTATCTGCACAGCATACTTTCAGATCCTGTCAGAGCTCCGCTGCAGAATGATCACAGTGGAAGTCAAGTCTTTGCCAGAGAGATAGAGAGGAAGAGAGGGACTCTGGAGCTGTGGACCAGAGCCTTTGTTTGTGTTTTTTGTTTGTGGCTGACTACTGTGAGTATTTTCATGCTATCCCCTCATGATCGCAGAGAATGACGGCTGAGCTCCGAGCGCTTCCCGCTGCTCGACTTAAGACCACCGAAGGCACAGCTGTGGCAGAGAGCGCTTCTGTACGTGCATTAACACAGCCAATAAACCGGTGCTGAACGCAGGAGCGCAGACAGATTTATCCAAGGGCACACACACACACACACACACACACACACACACACACACACACACACACACACACACACATACCACTAGTATGCCAAGTCACCGCCTGTCAGCCGCTCACACACACTGTGCTTTCCATCCCTCTCTCACACAGTCCGTCTCTATGTCATGCCTGTGGGTTATTAGCTGTATGATTGATCAAATGCCTCAGCACTTAGCTTTATGTCCCGCTCATTCTCCTTTTAATCTCTCTCTCTCCTCCTTTGTGCTGTCTTTTTTTTTGCTTCAAGCTAATCCCTTCAAATGTTTGTCTGATTTTGTGTCTTTGGTCCCCATGCTCACATGCCACAGTGTGGATGGTCCTACTGCACACACGCTCTGCAGATTTCATTTAGTTAGATGATCTATTTGATCTAGTGTTGCAAGAGAGTTCTTTGGTTTTTCTTTGGAATTAGTAATCATGTGGAAATGGAAGTGCAAAATGCATCAGTATTTAATCAAAGAAAAACCTAATGATATTTCAGGAACAAACAACAGAGCAGAAAACAACAATCTTTCAGAAAATAAATACACCTATCTCCTTTTGAGATCCTTATTAGTTCACATCATCAAAGCACAGGCTGTGGCATCTGTTCTGCTTTGAGAAATTAGTTTTCTATTTTTATTAAGTAAATGACAAGTTGTGTTCTGTCGCACATAGGATCTATTTGTTTCTCCTGTTTAGAAGGACCTTTTAAGCACTGAAACATATTTACACAATAGTTTTGTTTACACAATACTTTACTGAATTGTTGTGATGGTGTTGATTCGGCATTTCTCAATCTGATATGTTTCACACATTCAGCTGATTTCTTTAGTTGTCAGTACATTGTCCATTTGGAGAGGGTCAAACTCTGGTTGTTACCCAGCTTTGCTCTGATTGGTCCATTCTGGGAGTGGATTGATTCTTAATCATGCAGATCACAACAACCGGGGTGAAAGCTGGAACTGTTCACAGTTAGGGACACACTCTATTGGATTTTTGTCAATAAGCCAATATTTTCTAATAAACTTGGGCCGATTTCGATTGCCGAAACCAATAAATGCACATGTTTGCTACATGGAGGTACCTGTCATGGAATCATGTTGGAAACATTCTCCATTTCTGGCTGATATTTAATTTTCAAAACCTTTATTCTCCAGTCCAGTCCTTATTAATGTCCTGCAACCCTATACAGTATAGGCCTTATACTTCACGGTGTTGTCAACTAGACATGGTCTGAATGAACATTCAAAATTCTCTGATAAAAATGTATCGAGAGATATTAGCTCAGTGTGCAATTTTTTGTCTGATTTCTGTCTTTGAAACATATTTTCATCTATGTCTTGTTTGGACAGCAACATTAAGGTTTAAAATGCTGCCATCTGAAGCACATCTGCTAGTTAATTTAGTTAGATACCATGTATGGGCTGTATTTCACGGCCTAGTGCAGCTCATTTTGTGACAAGCATTTCCAGCCCTGACTGTTCAAGTCATGCAAGGTTCATCGTAGAATAAACTCTGCTCTTTGCATCTAGATGAAGGCCCTCCGTGTACCTGTCCGCTGTGTGCGTCCGACTGGAGCAGCTGTGTGCCTCACAGTGAGGGTCTGCAGCTGTCCCGGGACCTGGGGGCCACCTACCTCGAGCTGCCCTCTCTCAACCACGTCTTTGTGGGACGCTACTTCGGCAGCGTGGTGAGTGGTCACATAAGGACATTACGTTTTGACCCGACATCCCCTGACAATAACCCTTCAGAAATGTGTTAAAACCTTCCAACTCTTCCTGTCTGTTACACTCGATAAACTCTGCATTTCTTCGCAAACTGAGTAGAGGAGAAAAGGACAGGTGGCTATGTTGGTTTCTTCAAGAAGAAAGCAAAGAGTTGATGACGTAACATCACTATTTTGGTACCTTGTATTTGTACTAACGCTTGCATTTCTGCATTGTCCAGCTGGAGTACTTCATGATTCAGTGTCTGAAACACAAAGCCAAAGAGAGGCCGGAGAAGAGAAGAGGAAATAAAGAGAACGATCTTCGTCCTCCTCACTTAGAGCAACCAGGTCAGAGGAATGCTATGGTATCTCAAAACTAATACTGCTTTTAACTGGCATTTCATTGTGATACCCCTATGAGGAAATACGATCAATGGCAATTTTTTCTTTTCTAGTATTTTTATTTAAAATGATTGAGTACTTATTGTTTTCTGTCTTTGTTGAGCATTTAGTCGGACTGACTGGATTGTTACTCCTACAGCTTACAAAGCCATAAAAACAGCTGAGCACAAAGGATTTGATCCAGATCAATATCCTCTGTACCACACGGAAAAACAAGGGAAGAGACAAAGAGCTAGGTAGACTCCTTTTCATTCAACGACGTTTGAATCAATTTAAGACTGAGCTGTTTTCAGCAAGAGTGGGTTTTTCTGAGGCATCGCAGTGATAGTAGTCGGGGTGGATTACCTATTAACGCACCTTTAACCATGCTTTTTTTAATTGATTATGGTTTTAAGATGACTTATTGGCCGTGTCTTTAAGGGTGCCGTGTCCATTTAGTAACATCCTTAATGTAGGGGGATGTGTCTTTAACTTTAGTCCATCCTATTAAGGTTAAATATTTATGTCAGCTATGCAAGATTTATGCAAAATGACATTTTAATTTTTTTTTCTTTTCTGTCTGACAACAGAGCGAATCTCTGAGATGAATAATGGTAAATATGCTTATATCATGTTTGGGGTATTCAGCAGATAGACAAGAACATTTCACACATTTTTCTCTTTGAGAAGCTGCAACTAGAGAATGTCTGAGAATGACACGCTTAGTTGATAATCCAAAACGTTCCCTAAATGGTTCAAACCCTAATTAAGTTTGAATCTTCTTATTTGAAAGTCAGAATTTCAGATTGCATTTATAGTTATATTCAGAACAAGCCAAATTGTGTCAAAATATTTCATTTTGTAGTCAGTTTGCAGCTGCAGACTGAATCATACTGCTCAGATAACACAAAACTCTTATCAATACAAGAGATAAAGGACCACAGTGGACAATGATCAAGAGACATGAATACACAGCGAGCAGCAGAGATGCACCAAGGTTGGTTATTGTAGAAAATATTAAAATAAACAAACCAAGCTGGAAAGCTTGACGGATGCATGTCTGTTGCTTTTCCTGTGTTTTAATGCTCTATTTTTTAAGACTTTAGACTTATTTTTTATCCCAATCGCCTAAAATCGGTGTGATTAAGTCTGCAAACAATTGAAATTCCTGGCTCACGAATGTTAGAACAATTGAAAGCTTTCTGAGTGTAATAATTGATTAAAAGAAAAAAAACAGATCTAGTTGTACAATCAATTTAAAAAATGGGAGTCCAGTAGTTTATGTTGTGCTAAATTCATAACTACACTCCTGTCTCCTTCCATTACAACTAGACTACTACTGCCATTCCTGTTATTTTCCTCATACAGTTCGTTTTTACAAAAGAAACCACCTTATTTAACATAAACTACGCTGTTAAATATCGATCTGGCCAGCTATATCCGATGCATGACTGACATCTTTGAGTCCCGCCAGAAAGGCAGCAAGTGCTGGCAGATTTATCCGTGTCTGTCCAACACTACTTAACTCTGCTTATGCTGGGGCCTGCATTAAATATGACGTGCACTGACTCAGGAACAGCACCATTTTCACGACCAAATCTGAGCAGCCATAAAAAAGGAGATGAGTTCTACAGAGAAGGGAGCAGTGTGTTGAGCAAGGATAGGAATGTAATAGGACAATGATTTGTGAAGCCTCCTCCCATCGCTGCTCATTCCTTTTCACTTTTTATTAAACGGAATAAATGAATAGACGTGCATTATATGTTTTTTCTCCTTATTTTTATTATAACACTTTTTATTGCAGTGTTTTACTGCTACATAGTTCACTGCAAATCAGTTATCTGTTGCCTAGCTTTTTCCCATTTGACCTTTAAACATAAACCTTATTTAAAGGGGACCTATCATGCAAAATGCACTTTTGTACGTCTTTTATACATGAATATGTGTCCCCGGTGTTCCAGGGAACTCACCAAGTGTCAGAAAACACAACCCTCTCTATTTTCCTCCATACCCAAATCTCTAAAAAAAGGGGCTGCAACGGATCTGATAAAAACTGATCCAGATTTGAACACTGTCCTGACGTCAGGACAGTGGCGCTACGGCTATTGGGCCAACTCCACCAATCAGGAGGAGACAGCCACGGCCATTGCCGTTCGAAAGCGCTGGAGACGCTGTAGTACATATGCCAGGCCTGTAGGTGGTGCTGTTCTCACAGAATCAGCCCTTGCAAAAACAGAGCTAGAAATGGTCAAATTGAGCGAAATTAGGCATGGCTAAAATGCATGATCTGTTTGGTATTTTGAAAAAAAAAAAGTATAAATATGCCTTATATAGGTATGGTCCTACACTATATTATTCAAATGTATTACATGGCTTAGTTGAATACTCGATTCTGATTGGTCAATTCGGAACACGTGACACGTTGTTAATCCAGAACAGACAGACCGCTGTCAAGGACTTATTGACCGTTGTTAAGGACGCTCACATCTGCACAAACAAGTCCGTTTGATTTAACTGTATACAGTTTGGCTGAAAAGCAAACTGCATGCAGTTTGCTTTTCTAACTGACAAGACAAGGGCGACAAGAAAACAGCGGAGAAGTAACGGGGCAGAAACCCTCCTTTTTACGCAGCGGTCCAGACATAGACATCAAACGGCGACACATATTCAGTTGCCAGTTACTTTGGCATTAGGGCAGGGATATCTAGATACTTTCCAAGCTTTGACATAATGAATTGTGCTACTTTTAAAGCAAGCAACGATGTTTTCAAATCTGTAATCAAAAAGCTCCTCAAAAACGCTATCGAAGCAGTTCCTGCCGTTGCTACGTTAGTTCAAACAGTAACAACGGACTATTTTTGTTAGCGGATGCATGTCAATTTAAATCAATACATACAACTATTTTTTAAATCAATAAAATCATTTTCTAAATCCATAAAAGCATTTCAATTAATATTGGGAGTCATATCATTACTTTGTTGAGAATGTGGCCATGTAATAAGCGGGATAATGTGCAGCGACTTGGTCATTATGGGGAAAATAACACCTTCATGCCGATCTAGATCCCTCCGCTTCGCGTCGGGCTCCTGATCTGCCTGTCGGTGTTCTTTTCCCCATAATGACCGCGTCGCTGCACATTATCCCTTACATAGCATGATAGGTCCACTTTAAGCTTTTAGATGTGCTTTGCTTCAATTTAAAAAGTGTTATCATCAAAATAATAGTGATTGTGAACTCTGTGTTACTTATTCTTCACCAAGTTTAAAACAAGGAGGAACAAATACAGTCTGTCATCAGTGCAAAGACAAACATATCTGGAAGCGTTTTTGTTTTTCCAACTTGAGCAGAAGGGCATGGCACAACCTGACATTGGTCTCTCCTTTAGTTCTTTCTTTCTTTACTAAAATATCTCACTGCACTTTGTCTGTCACTATCACTGCATCACAACTCTGTCACTACATTCACCCAAATTCATCATCTAAAAAGGTGATAACACTAGGAGACGAAGACAAGGTAGATTGAGGAGAAACAAGTACACCAAAAAGTGCAAAATACCACACTTTTGAAGTGCTTTGAACATAACATATCTGGTGGTTTTGCCAACATGAAAAAGCAGGTGAGCTGAATTTCAGCTGTGACTGTTCATTAGCACAATAATCCTATCCATCTTCCCCTCCTTACTTCCTCCTCCTCCCTCCCTTCAGCACGTCTCCCCCCCATCCGAGTGGAGGAGTCCAGCTTCTCCCAGGACATGCAGTGGTTGTTGGAGCGCGGTGTGCAGTTCGCCGATGTGGCTTTCTACGCCGGGGACTCTGGGAAAGAGCTGGGATGGGCGCACGCTGCGATTCTGTGTGCCGTCAGTCCGTACTTCAGACAGCTGCTCCTGGGGCCCAAGACCAGGTAGGAGCCACATTAGCTTGTTCACACGATTGAGCGTTACAAACTATTCCACCAACCACCTGAATGTTGCCCTCTGATTGGACAGGGAACGCCCCCAGTCGCGGTGTGTTTGCAGAGAGCGTGATGGAGGCCCCAACTCGCTGCTCTCCACCTGGGATGGGGCGATTATTGACGACATGCCACGATCAGAGGCGCACTCGACAGGACGCCTCTCTCGTCTGGTGGTGAAGGACCCCCTCCTGTGTATGTGCTTGTGGGAGACCCTCATGTTCATTTATAGAGGTAAATAACAGACACACACAGCACACTTAGACGCAACTGAGCAAAAAAACAAACAAATGTTTTGTTTCTTTTCCAGAAAATGCTCATTTCCATTTAAAGGGTTCATATTATAGTTATTTTATGGTTCATTTTGCTATTTTGTGTCTCTACATTGACATGTTACCATGCTTTAATGTTCAAAAAGGTCTTTATTTTTCTCATACTGCCTATGCTGCAGCACCTCTTTTCACCCTCTGTCTGAAACCAGAGCCCAGTCTGCTCTGATTGGTTAGCTGGCTCTGTTGTGATTGGTCAACGGTTGAAAGATGAGTTGTAGCGCTAACCAATAGAAGCGCATAGCGATGCCACTATTTTACAGAATAAACAAAGGAGTCCAATGGAAGTGTTTCAGGGAGGGGGGTGTGTGGGAGAGAAACTCCCTCTGGAGTCAACTTCTCGATTTTAGCCTCTGCAGACCCTTTACATGCACAAAAACCTATATAACACACCTTTTTTGGGGAAAGGTAAAAACCCCAAAAAGCACAATAGGATCCCTTTAACTCTGTTTTTGCTTTAGATACATTTGCCCTATGTAGATTCCTCTGACTACGAAAAGTTAGTTAAAAGCTGAATGTACTGATTATTTTCTTTATTGATAAATCATTTTGTCACAAAATACCCCAAATTGTAATTTTCCAAAGCCAAAGCATTACCTTCTCTCTTATAGAAGACAAAGAGAGCCTGAGTGATCATCCATGTCAAATGTTATAGCAATCCATCCAGTGCGGTCTGCCCTCAGGGCTTAGAGAGGTAGAACAATTCACATCTAGAGCATTCGGGTCCTTTCTCGACTTAATGCAAACCCCCTTAGAGCAGATATTGTCACACAATTCTGCTTTTAGGCCGGTTTGAGATTTTCTCAGATATTTGAAGCACTCTGAAACCTAGCTCAAGTTAACATTTAAATATTTTCACGTTGTTACCTGCGTTGGGCAGATTTAAGTGCTATTTGTGTACACGTTTATGCTTGGTTCGCAACAAGCGAACACCTGCAGGCTTTATTTTGTTATGTTTTAAATTGTTATTATCCAAGCCCCCCCATCATACACATTTTATTATAATTGAAGAGGCCTTTTTCATTATTATTAAGGTAGCATTTTTTCATTGTGAAAGCAATTTTGAGATTGGTTTCTCCAGGTTAATGTTTTTTTTTCTGTTGTTTTATGGTTGGGAGCTGGTTCTTAGGCTTTTTCCTGATCTGCTAAAATCAGTCTCTCCACAGAAAGATTAATATCTCTACGACTTTTTCGGTCATTGGGGTCAAAAAGAGCCCTCTGTGGAAAAAATAAAAATCAATACATTGCACTGCAAAGTATAAACTTAAAATATGACATAGGCTTAGATAATCAGAAGTGAATTCTAGGGGAGGCTGCCAAATTCTGACTGTATTAAAAGATGTTCCAACCTAAATCAAAACAACACAGAGGAGCCTCCCATCCCTGCTAAAAGATGCTCAACCCGACTCTCTGGCATCAGGATCTGAAGTACAGGAAGGGCCAAATAAGGTGGAGATCAGAATTCAGCACCGTCTCCAAAACAGCAGCCAACATGCACTTAGTCCAGAGAAACCCGGCTCATCAGTTAACTACCATCACACCACATGATTTCTAGGAAATGATATGCATCCCATTCTGCATTGCAATCATCAATCACTTCCTGCTTCTAAATGCCACAAACTGTTCAAGGCATTGACTTGCATTCATTGTTATTTTAATAACTAATTATTAGTTTAATATCGTATTGGCTTGTTCTTTTGCCTGTACATTATATTACATGAGTTAAAACGTAGAACATGTTCTGCCATTAGGAGTCTCAACCAAAACAATAACTAAAGCATTTGGTGGCTCAATGATGTAGTCCGGGATCATGGGAGACGTTGTCTTCAACACCATTTCGTTATTGTAGTCATCTTCTCCTGGTTAGGATTCCTTCAGGGATCATCGTTCAGGACGTTTTTTTACAGGGAGACGAAATATGTGCAGAGATCTCCTCCTCTCCAATAGACACCTACCTAGGGATGCATACCGGTTCCCGGTATTACCGAAATACCGGTTACTGGTGGCTACGGTATACCGTACCGAAATCAGATCCGGTTTTCGATACTTTTTTTAATTTTTTTTTAATTTATTTATTTATTTATTTTATAAAAGTGATGCATAATATCCTTAAACTTGTGCCCAAACCGTCGGAATTACGATGTCAATTTCGCAGTGAAACTCCGCAACCAAGTCACTTTTGAAAATCTAAAGTGTGGCTGCATATGACTGCCAGTCTGAATGGTGGGGTCTGTAACCACTGCCAGTCTGAATGGTGGGGTCTGTAACCACTGTCAGTCTGAATGGTGGGGTCTGTAACCACTGCCAGTCTGAATGGTGGGGTCTGTAACCACTGCAAGAAGTTTATTTATGGGAAAGGTGGCAACACATCCAATCTCCAACCAATGCTGTCTCGTATGGCAACCAAGTACCTTTGTGTTCAGGGAAGCAGCGTGCCAAGCGAGAGAGTGTTCAGTTCAGCAGGTGATACCCTACGCTGTGAAAGGGCCCGTTTGGATCCAGAGAGAGCAGATATGCTCATCTTCTTGAAGATGAATGCACAAAACTGAACTGTGATGGGATTTGTTTTCTTTCATCAGGCAAATGTTGATTTCAAGGATGCTATTTGTTTTATGTGCAATGCCGAGATCTCATGATCCTTTATGTGTTCTCTGGTCAGTCGAATCTCAGGTTGAATATTAATTACACTGGTGCTATTTTTTTTTTTCATTGACAAGATGTACTATTCCCGCCTGATGGTTGTTATAAATGATATTGCAGAATCAGTTTTCTTCATAGATAATGTGTTTTTCATTGTTTGTTCAGTACTAAAAGGTCCAAGTCCCACAATTGAATTTAATATTCATTTGACATGTTAACTATATAATAAAGCGCTTCATGGGAGTAATTGCGGGGTGATAAAATGTTTCCCTTATGCAACATGAAAGTATCACGATATGTATCGGTTGAGTATCGGTATCGTTCAGTGGTATCGGTATCGGTATCGGTATCGTAAAAAAGTCAACGATATGCATCCCTACACCTACCTAAAGCTGTTTCAGGTTAGAATCAGTGTCTCTCAGATGTTGCACTGCGTCTAACGTTTCCTCAGATTGTTTCTCTGATAACTTAAGATCCAGATGTTTTGGAGGTATTCACCAGGGAAAGATTCATCCCCAGAAGTCCTCTCCTCAACTCAAGAAACAGCATGGGTGTTACTACTAACTCTGATAATTAATCACATTACATGTAATGATTAGCTACGCTATGGGGCAGGCTGCTCCTCCCAAAATACAGTTTGGCCTTCACCTCATCTTTAATTATTTTCTGGAACTAATAAAAACATACATTTTAAGAAAAGTAATTGTATTAAAGGTGGGGTAGGTAATGTTGGAGAAACCAGCTCGAGTGCGCTAGAATTTGAAAATACACAACCGGAAAAAATCTCTCACTTCCTTACAGAGCCCCTCCTCCAACACACACGAACGCGCACATGACCAATGAGGGCACGAGATAAGTTTGTGCACAGATGGAAGGCTGACAGGCAGGTAGGCCATCCAGTTATTTTAGCCGGGCCGGCTCAGATGATTGGTCGTGCTTTTTACAGTATTACGGCTTCCACAGATGACATTTTTTAATGTATTTATTGTCAAAGCACAAAGATATTCATTGCTATCGGGATGTTAAGAGCATTCCATGGAATATAACAAAAAGTGTTTCTGAAATAAATGACATACCCCACCTTTAAGACATGTTTCCATACGTTGCCAATAGAATGAAAAGAGGTAAAATCATGTTTTAAGATAAATATCACTTTTAAAAAATTACTGTTATGATACGGTCACAAGAAAAAAGATAATTGAGGTCAAAAAGTCCATTTATGTCAGCTTCCAACCTGTGAAGAACTTTGAGAACTGATGGAAGCATTTGGGATAATGTATACAATCTAACTAAATAAAAACAAAGGTCTAGATGGGCTTTTAAAATATTTCAATGTTATATATTATAGCTTTAAATACAACTGGATGGACAGAGCTAGGCATTCAGCCTGGGATTTCGATTCCCCTCCAGATGCAGTTACTGTTTTTCCAATAATTTAGATGTGATGATGAATGTCCCCCAGGCAGCAGAAGGCCGTTTGCCGGCTATTGGATCTTGTCCAATGTTCCATTATGGTGAGGAACAGAAATCAGTCAATTGAAAGTGCTTGATTTTAAGCGGCAGTTGTATTTTAATCTAGTTTCTGATCATCCATCGTGTAATTCTGTGATCTCATGCTGATTTCTTACTTGTAGTTAGATGCCCCCAGTCCACTCCTGTTTCCTTTGTCTCCAGCTCAGGCATTAAACACAATGGAAACGTGGATCGGGACACTGAGCGACGTCTTAGCAGAGCTTCCATCAAAGCAATGGCTAATGAGATTTGTTGATAGAATCTGACACAGTGGCCTTACATTCATAAATGATTCACTCTGTGATGAGACTGTGGTGCAAAATGAACATTATGTTACATTAACTTTTATGAACTCCCAGGCACACGCAGGTATTTAACATGCAACCAAAATCTTTGCAAATTGCATAAAAAAGGTTCTCCATTGGCGTATTAGTCCTATTTAAACATCCCTGTGATATTCTTTGCAACATCAGTGCCTTAATGAAAATGTTCTGGGTCTGCAGCTCAGGGGCTGCAGTGCTTCATGTGCAGTCTGCTTGCCGTGCCGGAGCCCTAATGGCAAAAAAGCTGCGCTCACATATGATTCATGGCCGCCTCTCAACATGTATGTGAGCAACACTGTTGGTCTGACACACATATACACCAGAGGCAGACACACATAGGCTGAGTGTGTGTGCGCGCTGGTGAAGGGAAGAAGATTATAGGGTTAGACTGAGTGACTGTATGAATAAAAATAAGAAAGCCAGCAATGGAAAGACGGAGTGTGCAGTGTGTGTGTTCATGCACGCATATACACTTCCATGGAGTGGCTTTTTCTCAGGGTAAGATAGGAAGCATACAGGAGTGGAAATTTGCGAGCAGGGTGAAAAACGGAGGTGAGGGTGAGAGACCGGGGGTGCTTGAGATGCTGGAGGTGGAGAGTGTTTGGGTGCCGGGAGAGCTGGGCACTAGAGCATACTGTAAATGTGTGTGTGGGCTCTGAGAGAATAGCGGAAAGAGGGAAATGCGTTCATGTGCAAGGCATTATACCAATGTCACGTTTCCATAAAACACTGCAGGGAGACTCTGTTAAGTCTTGTGTAAAGAATTATGCTGAACCTTCAAAATAGTGGGTTAGATTGCACGTTTAAAGCAGCTGACCTCACATACTGTGTATTCTGTGTTGTTGTAGCACAGTGAGCCAATACTTAACGTTCATTTGCAGCAAATCCACAACATGCCACACTCAGCATTCCTCAAGATGGGATGCATTTCTTCTGCAGGCAATTCAATGCCACTCATTTGTCAGCTGTGGCTCATTTGTATTGGCTTGGCAGAACTAATTTCCATAACAATATCATGTCTATAAACGCTCACTCGTGCTATTATTCCGCGCTTGTTTTTTTGTCACTGCAGTGTGTTCGCTCAGTCACAGAGGCCATGACTGAGCTTGTGTGATGTTAACTCTGTGAGACTCTGTCTCTTTGTGTAGTGAGCTGCTGAATTATTGAGTTTGTCACTTGGGTTCTATAGTGTGTGTGCATGTTTAGTACATATACAATGTGTAAGGCACAGATTAATCCTTCTGTGATTGTGCTCATCTTGGCTATATTTAGACAAGAGACCAGTTGTTGTAATGTATCAGTAGTTATGGAAAAGGTTTAGGAAAGACAGGAAATCAGCGGTTGTTCCCCAAAGATCTATTCTGTCAGCATTTGTGTTGATGTGTTTGTGTAGGTGACTGCAAAGGACTACACAACCACAGACACATATTTGTGAGAATATAAATAAATGAAATGATGTGGCATCATTGCAGCTTTTGCATTTTGCATATGAACTCCAGTGTATCCTGTTGAGTTTGTCGGCATCATGTGTTTTTATTTTGTGTTGGGTTTGTCTGCATCATGTGTCAGCTCCAAAGCTCCTGAGCTAATCTCTCTCCCCGCCTCTGAGGTGTCTGCGCCATGCAGCGTTATTATCCGGCACCGGGTGTGTAGGTAATCCCTCTTTCAGCCCAAATACCGTCATTATGAACTAATGATGAGATAAATCCAGCCCGGTCCGGCTCCCTCTCCCCTCAACAGCCTGTTTATGTGTCCCACTGAGATAAAGTGCGCCACCTCAATCAGCTGCAGGGCTGCAGGCTTTATGAGGGAGGAGGATCCCTCTGAAGTAAACACATGCAGCACAGATGAAACATTTCACTTTTTCTCATTGAGTCTTTATATTTCACATCTTTTTTTGACGGTGACTTCATTTGTGTTACAGCCCAAATGTGTATTTCTCTATTTATTTATTGCATATCTATATTTCAAGCCATATAGTGGAATCCATAATCCTCTCGCGCGGACATGAGGTTCACATTTGTTTATGTGGAATGTCTCAATAATAATATATTGGTGTAATAGTTTGAGTTTCTAAGCATGTATGCTCACAGTAAACAACTGAATTTACATTAATAATAAAAACATTTATACAATTATTATGCAAATGTATACATTTATCTACATATATGTACATGCATATATATATTCATACTCATACAGTACATACATATAACAATGACCATACACTTACATAAAACCATCCACATACTATACGATACGATACGATACGATATACTTTATTGTCCCCGTAAGGAAATTTGTTCTGGACTCCGTCCTGCAGTGCATCCATGTACATATACAAACATAGTGGACATTAAGAGACATACACATATCATCAGTCATACACCGTTTGAACAAACACAATACACACACGTACATACTGACAATGGCGACCTATTGCACAACCCTCATGGCCAACATTAAAAAAAAAGTACATTTCGTTACATTTGACTACATATCATTTCATGTGAATGTTAAGAAGCTTACTATGTGATAAAACAACAATGTGCAAGTAATATTTAGTTTATGACCAAATACCTGCTCACCTGACCTCTCATCCTCCTCAGCTGTGCTTTGTGTTTAGTGCTTATTAGCAAATGATGGCATGCAACACATTCAAGTTAGATGCAGAACAATGTAAACATGACTTTCTTCACATCAGTATGTTAGCATTGTAAATGGGAGCATGTTAGCATAATGGTGTAGATCACAAGCAGCGCCCTCCCTCAATACAGCCTCACTGAGCTGCTAGTAAGGCGGCAGACTCTTGTTTAAACTGTGTTTTCAGCCTGTAAAACTTGTCCATATTATCGATGTGATCGGATTAAAGTTGAGTAAAATGCAGAAACTTTAATTGACTGTACCTGTAATTTAAATTAGCAAAATGTGGATCAAAGTTGTACATATCCTAATGCATTTGATTAAGGCCTAGTGCTTTGATTTGCAAAGAATTGCATGATTAGACGGCAACCAACTGGAAAAAGACTGAGCTTTTAAAAAAACTGACCTAAAGTAGAACACAATTCTAACTATTATCCAATTAAAAGGGAGGCAGATTTGTTATGGCCACTTGTGTGTTTTACAAACGCCTGGGTCACTGTTTCTGATACTCGTGGAATCTGGACAGCTTGTTCCACGCATAACCACAATAGATGATATAATCAGACACATTTTAGAAGGACCTAACTTTGTCAGCACCAGAGTAAGGTATGTGGGTGTTTTAGGACACAAGTGCCAGCTCCAAAAGAGTTTGCCTGTGTGTTTCTGTAAACGGTGCTATTGTGGGTCCGAAGAGTCTGTGTGTTTGTGGATGTTTCAGGAGCGTGGGAGTGGGATCACCTACAGGAGGCGCTGGAAGAGAAGCTGAAGAATACGCTCGCTGCGGCTCAGCTGATTGAGCGCATACGATCCCTCATCGGCAAAGAAAAGGTGAGGAATTCAATGTTTAAAATCACCTCTCTTACACTTACATTCACGACAAAACACATACTGAAAAATACATAACATTAACTCACCTCTGTTTGGACAACTATAGATAACGACGGAGGAAGAAAAACAAGAATATCTTGTGGTGTGTATGCTATAACAGTTGTCTTTGCAAAAAGAGGTTAAATATTTACAATCTTTCAAATCTTTGAAGTTATGAACACTTGTTTTCATAGCTGCAGACTAACAGCGCCTTAATTAACAAGACCATGTTTGAAAAACAGCCCAGTAATAAGTGGCTATAATTAGCTTATTTGCATATTATCTGCCCGCATCACCCCTCAGATACTGTGGGAACTAGGACAGAATAAACAAGAGATGCCTTCAAAAGAGAAGGACATTCTCACAATTACTGGAAGATTTCAATCTGCAGCGTCACATCTTAAATGTATTGTGTCTATTTGGGAACACGAGGTGTAATAGGCAGGCAGCAGATTTTGACATTAGAGACGTCAGGAGAGCTGACATATCTGCGTCTGACAAGCCCCTGGCACCATGCACGGCCCACCAACCCATCTGTAAGGAACTAGGTCTTTTACCTGAGGCGGTGCTGACACACCGAGTGACAGCTGGGCTACTTTAACGCAATGAGACACCATAATGTCCTGTCGTGATGTGATCTCCTCCTCTGAAAACACCTCGGGGTCCCCTTGCTCTGCGCGGAAACCGCCTGAAATTAGCTTTTTTCTGTAAGCTGTTCTAATGATGTACAAAATCGAAGAGTCTTGATTCTGTTGCTGCCTTCTACTGAGGACTGTGTGTTTGCCGAGCGCTCCCTCTGCAGCAGAGCAGTGCGAGAATATGAAGTTCTTTGTGCTCCAGTTGACTGAGAAAGGTCACAGGATGGAAATGGGGTGCTTTGACGAGACTCACTTAAAAACAGCTCTCCAAAAAGACACCCTGACAGCTGCTAACTCCACCTCTTGTGCACTGCAGCAAATACACATCGTGCATCCTTTGAATGCTTCAAATGAAAAAGAACACGTTAAGAAACTGACAGTTTGGACAAGTGTGTGGTTGCCAGTCTGTTCTCAGCAATAGCCCGTCCCGTCATGTCGATCTTGGCATTGCAGTATGTTTGGGTTAGCGCTAAGAAAGACTGGCAGAGGGTTCATTTGTATTCAACGGAGGAGGTGGGATACATGCATGGAATGGCAAATGAGCTGCTAACTAGTACCTGACATCCAGCAGAGGAATGTAAACTCTCTCTGTACTTTCCTTTTGGCTTCTTTTTCTTCTCTGTGTGTGTGTAGGGCCCCAGGGACACCCCCAGCGCCAGGGAGGCTCAGCTCGGCCCCCAGACTCTTGTCAACCTCTTCAATTCTCCTCTCTACTCTGACGTCATCTTCATGGTGCAAGGTGGGCTAAGGCTTATCTGTTGGAGACGTTCACAAATGCATGCGCCGTCACACCGCAGAGGAAGGTCACATTTAATTAGCCCTGATTGAGTTATGATGTCAGTCCAGGGTCTGGGCATACATTTTGAGGCAAATTAAAAGAGGAATGGTCCAAGGGGCGATTTTTCCAATTCTCTATTAAAAGGATGAAATCCAGAAATAATCTCCCAAGGCCTCTTCTAATCAATATTTATCTCATAAGAAGTGCAGCGAGCCGTTCGTGTTCTTGCACCCCTGAGCTGTGAGTTAAACTCATGGAGGTCACAGAGACAAATGTCTACAAGAATATTTTACGCTTCTTCTACGATTTTTTCACACTAGCCTTCTAATGTAATGTTTTGGGAGCTGTCACTGGCTGTTAATGGCACTTAATAACAGGACTTGTGCCGATGATTTACATGTCTTTGGTTTCCTGTTCATTTAAATGGCCCATTATAAGAGATCATCACTCATAACCAAAGCCAAATGGAGTCACGTTTGACCTCTACACTTCTGCAATGAGGGAAAACAGACGTGTCAGTGATATTAAAGAGGCCCTATTATGCTTTTTGGCCTTTTCCCTTTCCTGTAGTACTGTCCAATCACAACAGAGCCGGCCAGCTAACCAATCAGAGCAGACTGGGTTCTGGTTTCAGACAGAGGGTGAAAAGAGGTGCTGCAGCACAGGCAGTAGGAGAAAAATAAAGAGCTTTTAGAACATTAAACATGTCACAGTAGAGGAACAAGATACAAATATGAACCTGAAATTGAGCATAATGGGGCCCCTTCAAAGGGTTTGGCTTGTGGAAAATAATACAAAATCTGTATGGGTTTGTGAACGTCTCCAAACATTATTAGATCAAAGAGGCTTTCTGTTTCTGTCACTCAAGATTCAATACATTAATTATAAACTGTTTATTCTCTCAGGCGTTTCCTCTCGCAGTTCTTTGGGACTTAGGGACGCTACTATGAAATTCTAAACCTAAATGTTGCATGTGTGTGTTTGTGTGTGTGATTTTAGGGAGTGTGTTGCCAGCCCACCGAGCGGTGCTGGTGGCTCGCTGCGACGTCATGGCGGCCATGTTCAGCGGGAAGTATGCCGAGGCCCGGAGCCGAGTGGTGCCCATCCACGGAGTCTCCTCAGACACCTTCCTGTCCTTCCTGGAGTATCTCTACACTGACTCCTGCTGTCCTGGTGAGTTCACTGCCCACTGTGACCCCCACTGCTGGGTTACAATTACATTTAAAGGTCGCCAGTTTAGGTGCCCTTATGGGATGTACAAACTGCGACGGGAGGCCTAAATATAGTCAGGAAATGTCCCTGCTTTCCTCTTTATGTTGTGGACTAATTAAATCCCGTAGCAGATTTATTACAGTCGTGAGATGATTGAACTGGGAAACCCTCGGTCAGCATGTCATTCATTCACTCCACTATAACTACCCTCTCAGGCTGCTGCTGTAAATAAAAATAGAGTTTTATAAGGCATCAAATCTCTAAATAGACAGGTCATGGATTTGTGACTGAGATAAAAGTTGCTTGACATGGATCAGACCAACATCATCACAGTCTGAAGGACAATGGACCTTTGATGGCCTCTTAATTTACCGCAGAAATAAGCACCATTACAGAAACACTTGAGAGCGGCACGGCGGTGTTTTCCCGCCTCGCTCCCCAAGCGCAGCCCAAAACAAAAGCGCAGATGAAAAGTCCCATCAACCATCTGTGTGACTGCGACATGCTGCCAGTGTCAGTCTCGAGGGGGCCCCGCGGAGAACAGCAGCAGGCTTCAAATTAAATTAGAATTAGTGATGACAAAATCAACCCGTGGCATCGTCTGCTTTTCGCGGTGCCAACTCCCAGCCCCAAACGTGTTGTTGTGGTTGTCACTTTTCTTTCACCGCGTACAATGCCTTTTAAAAGTTATTAGTGCTGATCATTCACTGGTGGTGGAGGCGATGACATTATCTTTCTACAACCTTGAAGATACATTCATTCATATGTGTATTGTACCCGCGAATCAAGCGTTACAAGGGTGACTGTAGTGTAACACATTATTTTACGGAGATAACTCATTATTACATTTCCAATAAAAAAACGTTTAAATTCATGAGATTTTTTTTAGGAAACCACATCCCAAGGTTTCTTCACCTCAAAGAAGTTGCCTCCCCTTGTGTATTATGTGTTGGCACCTTATCAAATTATACTTTGTAATATAATTTAGCAATAAGTAAATATCTTGTAATTGTAGCCCCAAATCAGACTGTGTTGATTTGTTCTGAATAGGCATAATTCATATATATGTATTTTCATGCTAATTAAGTGATAGCCTTTCTGCGTAAGGAACTAAAACAATATATCCAGACAGGGGCGGACTGGGACTAAAGATCAGCCCGGGACTCTCGACTGGCCCACTTAAATTACCGCAAGTAAATTCTGTTACTGGGGGGGGGGGGGTTAGTGCTAGTGGCCTATCCGACCGGCCCACTTCAGTACCAGCCAGTCCGTCACTGTATCCAGATGAAGGATACCTCCATGTAACAAACTGTTGCACCTCCTCTCCACAATGTACTTGTAGCTTTCCCTGTTTTGCTTGATCCCTCTGAAAATCAACAGCTCTGAGCATCTTTGGCCATTTTTAGCTTGTTGTTTTCACCCAGACAAACAAGATAATAGCAGTTTTCACTCCACAGACTTACACACTAGATTGTTTGCTTCCTGTCCGGTGACGAAATTGCTTAGAGTCACGGTAAAAGACAGAAACCCCCAAGACTTTTTAGAAATGCCAGTGACTATACTGACCAAAGGGACTCCATTGTATTGCTTTGCTTTGTGTCTGCTGACTATTTGTTAAGAGCTTAGCTAAAACAACTGGATGAGCTTAATATGAAAAAAAGGGTTCTTGTTGTGTTTATTTTGGAGTTTTTCTGCCCCTAGTGATGCAAGATGACTTAATGCAGCTCTGAATGACAAGCTTATGCAGTCATGCTTAAAGGGGCTGTGTGTGTGTGTGTGTGTGTGTGTGTGTGTGTGTGTGTGTGTGTGTGTGTGTGTGTGTGTGTGGTGTGTGTGTGTGTGTGTGTGTGTGTGTGTGTGTGTGTGTGTGTGTGTGTGTGTGTGTGTGTGTGTGTGTGTGTGTGTGTGTGGTGTGTGTTGTGTGTGTGTGTGTGTGTGTGTGTGTGTGTGTGTGTGTGTGTGTGTGTGTGTGTGTGTGTGTGACTGTGTGTGTCCATTGTGACATCACAAGTAACTGTAGTCCTGCTTGGATCGAGCCTCCCAACAACAGATGATTACAGGTTCAAAAAGGCACTAAAAGCAATCCATTACGACCCCTAATTAATAGATAAAGCCTTCAAACTTTAAACTAACAATTACAGATTTAATCACAACACTGTCTGTCATCTTTTCTTCCTGTACTCTTATATAACGAAGCGGCTGAATGGACAATAAAAAAAGCTCGGAATAATCCATTCAGAAAAACCAGCTACTGAGAGAGAACTGGCAATCCCATTATTTTGAAGAATGAGATGTTTTGATGAAAAATAATCATGGAAATCCTTCAACAAGCAACCCGTGAGATGCAGCTTAGGAGCAGGGAGGGTGAGCCTGCTGTTTGCAGAGATACAGCTTCAGGTTGAATCATGTGAACAGGAAATTAAAGGAATGAAGCAGCTCCAGAGGCTGCTGCACTGTTATGTAAGAGCTCAGCGCTCAAGGTCAACCCAAGGTAACTCCACCAGCAGCGACTAAAACTGAGGGGGTGGAATCAAAGGAGGAGGAATATGGTGAATCCTGTACATGGTGTGTGATAGTAGAATACATTTCCACTGCTTTCTTCTGTGTTTGGATGACTGTGCAGTGTGTGCAGAGAATCAGTGTTTGTCGGAGCAAGCGAAAGACGGTGTTTGACTGAATGAAGTCACATCAGGAGTCATTTCATTTGACATTCTGACGTTACGTAAGAGGAGTGACGTTACTTGTTTGACGTTTGCTTTTAAGGACGTCATTTGACAGCTTGGAAAGAGCAACAGGAAATGATGTATCTGCTGTTTTCACTGACTCACAGATTTGACACTGAGCTATTAAGATTGAGTCTGTGTGATTATAATGTGTCTTTTAATCTAAGAAATGGTGTGGTTTTAAAAAGGGATTTCCATTAAATCAGGCGGGTCCATCAAACTGGTGTTCAATCTTAGAGACTGAAAGAAGACTGTTGGAGTAGATATAAAATAACACACAAGTATAAAGTCATGAATACTTAATACTATTCTTGTTTTGTGATTTAAGGTTTGTGTCAGTATTACTTCTAGGGCTAGTTTTAAAACAGATAGACCCCTTATTGTAAACAATATTTAAGTGCTATTGGTTAACAGTTTACTCTCCTTTTAGCTGTTTTCTGTGAAGCCAAAAACGTCTACATTTTTTTTCTAATGCCCTTCTCAGTAAAACAAAAGGCCAATTTTTTAAGATAAGGGTATCTTTTATAACAAGAAAACAACTAGTTCTCTCACGAAATCAGGATGTCCGTCTTCAAGATGGGGACTGTCTGAGGGATTAATAACAGAAAAGTAAGTGAAGGCATAAATCTGCAATTTATGACTTAATTATTATAGAGATATTTTCTCTAACACAAAAAAAAATGCAGCTCCTGCCGTGGTAGACCTGGATTTGAATAAAATTGGATGCTTGATAAATAATGGGTACTCCTAAACTGACATTTTTATCTTAAAGGTGGGGTAGGTAAGTTTGAGAAACCAGCTCGAGTGTGCTAGAATTTGAAAATACACAGCCGGAAAAAATCTGCCACTTCCTTATAGAGCCCCTCCTCCAACACACACGAACGCGCACATGACCAATGAGGGCACGAGATAAGTTTGTGCACAGATGGAAAGCTGACAGGCAGGTAGGCCATCCAGTTATTTTAGCCGGGCCGGCTCAGATGATTGGTCGTACTTTTTACAGTATTACGGCTTCCACAGATGACATTTTTTTATGGATTTTTTGTCAAAGCACTTCAGATATTCATTGCTATCGGGATGTTAAGAGCATTCCATGTAATATAACAAAAAGTGTATCTCGAGCCGGTTTCTCAAACTTACCTACCCCACCTTTAAATGTGTTGCTAGAGTTGTCGAGCTGCATCTACAGTAAGGCACGGCACTCCTGGTCTCGGTTAAACATTGAAAGTATTAATAACAATTGTTTTCTTGTGATAACGGATTGATTGAATTGATATCTTGAGATAACAAAGTTTGTTTTTATTGAGATAGCTAAAAAAGAAACTTGTTATCTCAAGATAATGCCATTAATAAAAGTGTTTTGATAACTCGTGAAATTAATATCTGGCTCTTTAGCTGCTTAATGTTCCACTATATTCAGCAGCCTTATCGCTAACCCTCTCTCTGAGGCATGGTGGGTTTTTCAAACCTTTAGCTCAGAACAGCTTGCTGCTTGTACTGGAAATGCAACTTGTGAAAGCAGTGAGAGTGAAACAAAACTGCAAAGTTGTTGGGTGTAAAACTAGGAAAACGAGCTGAAAGCCGCTAATAGTTTGTCACTAGAAGCAAGCTTTCACATACATAATATATTAATAAGTATTAATGAATACAGATCTTTCAGGGCTTTGTAACATTCTCATGTAAGGTGCTGCTGGATGTTGAAAGCAGCATGTGTGAAATAGACAAACTAAATCATTGTATAACTATAGGGTAGTTTAAAGCTTCTCAAGGCAATCCCAGTGTGGCTCATTTGCAAACACATATTGAGCAATAATCGTAAAAACACCTACTTTACTTCAGGGAGCGTTTAAGCCTTAGCTTTCCTCTGGGGGACTAAACTCTTAAAACGTGTCAGGCTATCGTATAAATGTGGAATAAACTGTTCTCTACATGATGTTTCAGCAGTGTAACGTGTGTGTGTGTGTGTGTGTGTGTGTGTGTGTGTGTGTGTGTGTGTGTGTGTGTGTGTGTGTGTGTGTGTGTGTGTGTGTGTGTGTGTGTGTGCGCGCAGCCAGTGTGCTGCAGGCCATGGCCGTGCTGGTGTGTGCCGAGATGTACCAGGTGAAGCGTCTGCAGCACCTGTGTGAGGTGTGTGTGTGCGCCTACCTTCAGAGCATGCCCAGTAGAGAGCTGTCGTCGACGGGCATCAGCGTGATCAGACTCCTCCGCCGAGCAAAGGTCAGTACGGCTTTGAATTTAAGGATGAATGGAGAGCATTAGAAGACCTGCAGCAGACGCCATATTGCTGTGTAAACTGATTACTTCTTCATGATGATGCGACATTTACTTCAGCCACAAGAAAAAAGCAACTTCAGCCAAATGCTTTTTTCTGGAGCAATTCATCTTTTAGCTGTAGGAATCCATGTGCAACAGATATTCATGATTATCTGTCCAAAAGCATGAATTCTTAAGAGAGTGATTGTTATTTGTGTGTGTTTGGGTTTTCAGTGCCACAATGCAGAGCAGCTGTACATCTGGCTCCTTCACTTTATCGCCAACAACTACCTGATCTTCAGTCACAAACCTGACTTCCTGGAGCTCTCAGGTCAGTGTGGGATGTTTTTTAAATGTAGTAAATTGTATCAAAGCAATCACAAGGTGACAGGTTAGTCCCTGATTCCCCCACAACACAGGAGTGAATATATATAGTAGATAATACGAGGCCCTTATGACTAGATTTGAGGAGAATCTGTTTTATTTGAGCAACCTTTTCATTTTTATATGATATTTTCTCTCGTGTCTCCTCCTGATATGTTTCATTGCTCTTGCGTTTACACTCTATACCTCTCCCAAAATGCACAGTTACATTTCTAAAACAAAAATCTTTGTACAGCAGAGTACATAAAACTGATTTAGTGTTGTGAAGTATATTTTGTGATTCAGACTGCTGTCCCCAGAAAAAAAAGAATGTATTTTAATATCAAACAAGCCTTGTGACGGTTGTGCACACTTAAATTGCTGAAGAGAATGATAGAAACATTAAACAGCTGATTTCTACCATTTAAAATAATAATTAAGTCCAAACGCCTTCAGGCTGTGAAGCATCTGTTGTTTTTCTCACAGTAAATGTAAGAAAATGTCCCACTTTCTCTAATAAAAGTGCTAAAAGAAGGTAGCCTGATAACCAGAATTATGTTTGGATTTGTTGCACTGCAGCACAATATGGCAGGGTTTATGGATGACACTGTGAGCTGTCAGCCCCTCTGAATAATGCATCCTTATAGTATGCTTATACTATAAGTTTATGCTTGAGTTACATAATAACTGCTTCTCAGTTATTATAGTCATATGTATTTAATAGAAGCAGTTAAACAGCAACATCACACAGGTTAGTGACAGAAGCACATTTTATTATCATCATCAGTCAAACACACAATAATCCTTTAAGGTCATTGGACGGGTACTTAAGGGCACAGGAGAAGTAAAGGCCAGAGTAATCGATCACCGCTAATCCTCTGTAGCTTGTTGGTGTAAACTGAATTGGAAACAATCCAAGGTGTTATGCTGTTAGTGTGAGTAATGTATGTGTCAGGAACAGTAAATATTGTAGTAATGATTGAGATGTGTTTGCAGGAGGTTACAGTTTCTATGTTGTTGTGTTTCCAGAGGAGGAGCGGGAGCAGGTGGAGAGGCTACGCTGGCCGTCCAGAGGCTACCTGCAGGAGCTCAGCGAGTACCAGCAGAGGAGACGCAAGCTACGCAAGTCCCGCTGCATAGTCATGTGACCTCACCTGGATGCCTGAAGCAAGAGGGAGGAGAGAAGAGAATCAGTGACACTCATCACGTGGAGGAACTGACTTGTTCTGCTGGATGAAAGGCTGACAGTGAGAGACATTGTTGCTGTCGTCATCAGACTTCTTAACCAATAGGACGCTTTGTGGAGCGGTGACACGCCTCTCCTCCCCCTGAAGGAATGGCTGCGCATCCTTTAATGAATGACTTTACTATCATGTGCAAGACAAAATGCCTCAAACCCCAATATTAAACATGACCAGAGGCTCTGTGAAAGATTATATTTACATTAGCTGAGGATTTCTACAAAAGACACAGAATTACACAATAATTATTAAACGACCGCACATCTGTTGGAAAACTTGCCGGGATCGTTGCAGGAAGGAAACTGTTCCACTACTCGGAGGATGTTGGACTATCATCTGTACGCTGGAGAAATGAACATGGCCCATGATGCATTTATGTCCCTAAAAGTGAAATATTTCCCGAGCCTTGAACTTCTCTGTGGCTCGATCAGTATTTTAGCCGAGCGGTGACGTACATCAAGAGAGAAAGTGAGTCATCTCCATCTGTAGTCTGTCAGGACGCCCTTTATCAGACCAGCAGGACCAATTTAATCACAATTTGCTTATTCAGATTATCTCAGATCACTGTCGGACTGACTCTGACTTTTCTTAACATTTTAAAAAGAGAATACATTTCGGTCGTTGTCCGTCAAAAGAGGCCCTTATATTTTTTATTTAGAAAAGACTTGAAATGTCATTTTAATTTAACTACATATTGCCTGTATCAAAAGTTACAATACATTTAGGACAGTAACAAATGTATAACTTTCATTGAAACCCTGTAAGCTCGTACCACTTCCTTAGCAGGTTCAAATGAAATGATGTTGACAGTATTCCCTTTCTATTTGCAATAACACCTGATAATGGTCTGTCTCATTAATACAAACAAGCCTTTTGTAGCATTTACATACAAATTTAGGAAAAGCAACCATATCATGAACATACGTTGGAACACTAAAAACCACAATGCCTCTGGATGGATAACAATATTTATTTGATCCTATTTTTCTTATTTGAGGGGTTGTTTTTAATCATACCGAGAATATGATTTATTGGTGCTGCAAATTATTATTTTTGTAAACTAAACTGTATGTGGACATAATTATGACATGCTTTTTTTTTTACATTCGGAGTAGAGGGTCTCGCTATTTTACAGTCTGCTGTTTCGCTGGTATTTACTTAACAAAGGTGCATGATTATATATAAAAAAAACATGGGGGGGACAAGAAGACGGCAACTTATGTCAGAATGACCTTCAACAAAATGAAAAATCAATTGTGACATTTTGCAGCTATTTTTTATTCAGTAGATTAGTCCTTAACAGTAATTAAACAGTATGTAATAGTATTTATATCGGGTACTTTAGCAGAGAAGTAGCAGCAGGCTGTTAGTATAGTACTGTAGATAGTACTGCTGCTGCATCACAACAGGAACATCAACTTTAATTCCACTAATAAGTCACATCAATCCTAATCTACTCCTAAAAAGAAATGAGTAAATAACAGCAGGAAGAGTGGACTGTAAACATGTGTACTCCAGCGCTGCACTCAGTGGGGGCTGGGGTTGTACAGACGTCTGACTTTAAATAAAGACATGTTTTAGAATGAACAACATCACAGACTTGATCCATGTTTGCACTCTGCTGTGTTTGTATTTTATTTGGCAGAACTCATTCTGCGTCTCCCTCCTCTTGCCTCTAGAAAATCCACCTGTTTTGTAGTCAGATTGCTGACAGGTTCAAATACAAAACATAACGTGTGTGGGAGAGAAACTCCACCAAAAATAACACACTAAAGGGAAGGGGAAACCCCAAAAAGCATAATAGGGCCTCTTCAAGTTGTAGTTCTTTGGAAAAAAACGTTTTATTTCAAATGTGTGGGTTTTTTCATTGTTGATGAACCACTTTTTTTTTTCTTTTTTTTAAATTTTTTTTAATACTACTACCCTTCTCCAGCGCCATAATAACAACTATTTGTTAACCATTTTAACCCATTAGCCCTAATACGCTTTCAGAGAGATGAACATCATTCTTCTAAAATAAATGTCTCATTTTCTGGTTTGATGATGTTGGTAGGATCAGACTACATGATGTCTTTCAAGATTAGATTAGGTCGGATTAGGAGATCACAGCCAGTCCTTTGTGCTGTGAAGATGCTTAAAGACATGACAGACAGCGATGGACTGGCAGAAAATAACTTGACTAGCCTTTGCCTTTGAGTCAGGCCATTATACTGCCAATCTCATAAACTCTTATCTAATTATAACAAGTGTCAAAATCTTGTATGGCTGAAAATCTTCTGCAGTCACTCTGCCTCCTCGCTCAATCATTCAGGGGCTTCCTTTAATTTATCCCCCATCTGCTCATTTCAATCAGGATTTAAAACGGTGTGGTCCTGGAGCAGATTTACCACTAAGCAATTACTTCTTATCTCTTTGAGCACCACCTCGGGCGTCTTATTTCCTATAATTTATTTATTCCCACCCTAATGAGAGTTTACGGCTTCTAATTTAGGCTCTTAATCACTTTCTGAGGGGCAACACCTACCTCCTTTTGCTTCCCTGCTATTGCAAAGGCTTAGCTGTTAACCCTTTTTTCACTATACGAGTATGTGTGTGTGTGTTGTACCTGGAGGAGTGCAGCGGGTCACTGCAGGGCTCCAATAGACTGCAGCATGCTCTCCAGTTTGCCGCTCTGATGCAGCGCCGTCACGTCGCTGCCGCCTCCGATACACTCCTCTCCGATGAACACCCGTGGGACCTACATTCAAATCGATACACGAGAAACAGGGATGCAACTGGTAAATATGCAGGCATCGATTTTTTGTGTTGTGCATAGAGTCTATGAAGATAACAAGACCTTTTTTTCTACCATCAATTCCTTTAACATATCTTAATGTATAATGACAGAAAAATAAATCGGCAACATTTGGATGGTTCCAGCTGCTCAAGTATGAATATTTGCTGATTTTCTGATTACTATTTGGAGTCATTTGGAGGTTTGTAGTACAGGTTGGGCAACGACACACATTGATGATGTCACTCGAAGCCATTAGTGGTTGTGCTGGGACTTTGTCACTTTCTGTTTCCACACCAAACAGTGCATGACTAAATATTTTTAAAGAAATTGCAGTGTGAATGCTGACACTACACTGAATAGCCGGCTTAAAGAAGCTATTAGAAGAAAGTCAAAAATTAGGAAGAGTGTGTTTAATTATTATAAATGAAATTGAAACATTTGAATTACAATTAAAAATGTATGAAAGATGTGGATCATTAGGCTTTAAAATATATTATAATAAAAAGACAGTAATCTATAGTTGTAGTTGTAGACACAGTCTGCTTTAAAATAAATGCATGAGTCATAATAATCTTGCGATCATTTATACTAGTACAGGGAGCATAGTTTTGAGTTATTTTAGTGGTATTTGGAGTATTTTGAGAGTAGTAATAGGCCTGGTCATTCTTCTGCATCTTCCACCACTGCATATATAACTGTAACATGATTCATTGTTTCCATGCAGACACACATAGGTTTAAACCATGTTTTCAAAAGCTGACCATTATTCTTTGATCAGACATATTGGATCTTCATGATGTAATGTTGCTACAAACATGTAAGTGAGGCTAGTGGGTTGTGTTGCCGCATCTGGGAGACTCCCTTATTGATCTCCCAGTACTGAATCGTCAATGGATTAAACGTAGTCAAAAACAGGGAATTAATCAGAAGTGTTAACATATTCATCACAGCTAATATAGACAACAAGGCTACTACGGCATCCCGTTAGTTTGAAACCATGAAGTCTATGATGTGTATGTTAAAAACCTTTTTTCCTCAATTAGGCACACTGACTTTATAAGATAAACACGTGTAAACTGTGGTGTTTCCCGGGTTTTAAAGTGACACTTGCGTTGTTCAAACAATGACAAAGCAGCTCGTGTTTACCGTGCGGGCTCCGGTGAGTTCCAGGAAGTACTGCTGCATGTTGTCCATGTCGGTGCGGCCACTTATATCAATGCACTCCAAATGTCCCGGCTTGAATTTATACTTGGACAACACGTCTTTGGCCGTAACGCAGTACGAGCACGTGGGCTTAATAAAAAGCACCACTTTGTCTCCTTTAATTTTGGTCTGCACAAACTGCTGCGCCATTTTTCAGTCGCTGGGTAGAAGTGGACAGAAGATGAAAAGTGAAATCAAGAACAAAGATGATCGCTCTTCCTTTGGTCAATTATGGTGTTCAGGAGGATGACGTCAGAGGCAGGGTCCTCCTTCTTAAAGAGACAGTACACACTCTGCATGTGAAGGACTTTGGGGGAGGGTCTGCAGTGGTCATGGGGTCTAATAATACTTTTAAGCTTTAATTGATGAGTAAGGGCAGTGGTGTTTTGTAGTGAAGTACATTTACTCAAGTACTGTACTTAAGTACGATTTCAAGGTACTAATTTGTTTTATGCTACTTTATACTTTACTATACTACATATTGTACTTTTTACTCTACTAAATGTATTTGACAAAACTTGATACTTTACAGATTCAGATTATAAAATAAAACAAAATATAAATACACAAATAAATAAACTATGATACATAGTTATTGGTTAAGATATCCAGCAGCATTATATAAAGTAACTACAAATAATAATAATCCAGTAATTTAATATGTGATTCTAAAACGGGACATGCATAACAAGTACTTTTACTTTTAGTACTTTAAGTATATTTTGATGCCATTATTTTTGGACTTTTAAGTAAGATTTTAAATGCAGGACTTTTACTTGTAACCGAGTATTTTTACACTGTAGTATTTCTATTTTTACTGAAGTACTTCTTCCACCACTAAGTAAGGATTAATGTGTAGCAAGGCGGCCGTTAATGAAAAACAACTCCAACATGGTGATCAGGATGTTGCATCACCATGGAGGTTTATTATTACATGGCTGTGTATGTATTAAAAATAGACCAACGACTTGACTCAAAATATTGATTAAAATGATTTTCATAATAAAGAATGGACTGTACAGCTGTGTAGATGTGCCTGGAATTGAGGCGACAGCGTCTTAAAATGGGGGCAGCACTGATCGAGGGTTTCTGTAACTGTCCAAGTCTGTTCACAGTTTATTTTCCATCAAACTGTCAACAAGTCAAGAGTCCAAACCCATTAGTGTTGACTTCCTGTCAGTCTATTTCTTTTGATTTCTCTAACATCAAGCGCTTTCTTTGATCCTCTTTACTTCTCTTGCACTGTTTTTCTTCTCTTTACTGCAGACCTTTTAGACATCATGAATCTAAAGTGTTTTGCTCTCTACAAATATAAATGAATAATAATTGTCCACAGCTGACGTTACATTTAACAGAATTCTTTCTGCGGATTGATGTCTGCACCTTTATATATACAGTCTATGGTCTGCACACAGTCCCTTATCCTCCTTAGCAACGGTCATGTTCCTCGTTAGCAACTCTCTGTTAACTAAAAGTAACAACCCGGAATTTCCAAATTGACCAATCAGATTCGAGCATTTACCTAAGGCGCGTAATAAAGTGAGATATACTACTTAATAATACTACCAAGGCTCAGGATACCAGTTTATGAGTTCATAACCTCCAAACTTCCGTCCCATGTTGAATGGATGTGAGGACAATATAAACTCAAATAAAGCTATTTGACACAGGAAAGGGTCACACCAGATTAGCCATTGTCCCAAATCTGGCCTACAGTGATAATGCACTGAAGGAGAACAAATTCCCTAGCAAAAATTTAATTAATCAAATGACCAATACATGCAGGAACCTGGGGGTTTTAGGGGCCCTCAGGCCTTCAGCCACTCCGGCCCTAATTCAGGAGAGACTGAAAGATACAAAATGTGGGATGCAGCTCAAGCTGGTGCAAGCAAAGGTAAGTGAAGATACATATTATTTTAGTCACCTAGTAAAGACCTGTTTTGAAGGTAAAACCTGTCCTAGTTCACCAATAAAATGTGTTAAAGAGGATAGCGTGAAGACTTAAAGTATGATTCGTTTTCCATGTTGAGCAGTGACTGTTTAAAGCAGGGGTGTCCAAACTTTTTTTACCGAGGGCCACATAGAGAAAAATATACGAAGGGCTGGGCCCCTCACTAGAGGTGATGTATATTGACTCATAAGTTAAAGGTGGGGTATGTAATTTATCTCAGAAACACTTTTTGTTATATTCCATGGAATGCTCTTAACATCCCGATAGCAATGAATATATGAAATGCTTTGACAATAAATACATAAAAACATTTCATCTGTGGAAGCCGTAGTACTGTAAAAAGCACGACCAATCATCTGAGCCGGCCCGGCTAAAATAACTGGATGGCCTACCTGCCTGTCAGCCTTCCATCTGTGCACAAACTTATCTCGTGCCCTCATTGGTCATGTGCGCGTTCGTGTGTGTTGGAGGGGCTCTGTAAGGAAGTGGCATATTTTTTCCGGCTGTGTATTTTCAAATTCTAGCGCACTCAAGCTGGTTTCTCCAAAATTACCTACCCCACCTTTAAGTTATAAGTCAGCAAAATCAATCAAATGTAAGTAAATGATGCTTTATCAGCGTACATCACAGCTCTCCTGAGGGTTTCAATTATTTTGTTGGTAGCTCATTCCTTACAACAGAAGCATCAGATTTCTTATGAGGAAATATGAAGGGTATATTTCAAGGTTGTTATGAAAATAAGTTATTGAGCTTTTTTCGTATCAACTTAGATTTGTTAGAAAATGTTTTCAGGTTTAAAGGTGGGGTAGGTAATTTTGGAGAAACCAGCTTGAGTGCGCTAGATTTTGAAAATACACAGCCGGAAAAAATCTGCCACTTCCTTATAGAGCCCCTCCTCCAACACACACGAACGCACACATGACCAATGAGGGCACGAGATAAGTCTGTGCACAGATGGAAGGCTGACAGGCAGGTAGGCCATCCAGTTATTTTAGCCGGGCCGGCTAAAATGATTGGTCGTGCTTTTTACAGTATTACGGCTTCCACAGATGAACATTTTTTATGGATTTTTTTTGTCAAAGCACTTAAGATATTCATTGCTATCGGGATGTTAAGAGCATTCCATGGACTATAACAAAAAGTGTATCTCGAGCCGGTTTCTCAAACTTACCTACCCCACCTTTAATTGACTGAATGTATTTGAAAAGTGGGCTTATTAACACATGAATACTACTGTGTAATATCCGTTTACATATTTAAGAAGTAAAAGACAAGCACAAGTTTCATTTGAGGGCCCAACGTTAGTTTATTGTAAAATGCGGCCATATCTCCGGCTAGGAAGGTCGTATCAACGTGCTCCCGTCTCTAGCACCCCCGCAGCCCGAGCTACTAGTGAAAGAACTAAACTTACATGAAACTTCCGTTGGGTTGCTTTAAAGTCAAGCTTCAGTTTAAGATTCACCCTGTAATCGATGTAAAACATGTGATGGAGCATTACTAACCTGACTCAGATGCTTTGTTTCACCAAACCATCTAGGAAAGCTCCGTTGGAAGCCATTTGGAAAAGTATTTCAAAAATACTTGGCAGGTGAGTGGATCAATCTGTCTATCACCTACTATCATGGGCCACTTCTGATTGGCTAACAATGGCTGGTACATGTGGAGCACAGCACTTATGATTGGTGTGGATGACTGACACACAAGAACAAAAAATTAATAAATCGCAGGCTTTGCGATTTGATAATCGCATCATTTAAAATCGCGATTTCGATTTAAAATCGATTAATCGTTCAGCCCTAATTCACATACAGTACACTGATATTCAAAATGCAGATGATTACATTTCTGATGCAGTTGGGTAAATACATTTAGCTCCTTATTACTGCAGCAACTGTTGCTCTAAAATCTAAGCATATGAGAACCTTCATTTGTAGACTGGTTTGCAAATCAAAGCATTTTTGTGACCTGAAATGTACAAATACACACGTAACTAGTAGTGGTAGTAAATAGGTTCTCAGTTGTTGCTCTTATACCATCATCCAACAAACAGCAGACTTTAACACACACACTTTTACAACTCTGAAATGTTCTGTAATCTCATCATTTAACCCTGCATGTTCTCGGTAACTAAAACCCTTACATTCAGCAATTTGTTAGATAGAGAGCAGCTTTATAATATCAAATTAAAGTTATGACATTTTGAATCCAGTGGCGCCTATTTAAACCAACTGCAACAGTTTTTCATTGTGCTGAAGTAAACTGTATGTAGACTGAGGGCATATATGCAGCTGTCATGTTTATCTTGAAACATGGAAAGCAGATGTTCATACATTCAGATGTGGCTCTAATAACAAATATTATTTGCATCTTTAATAACAGTTTCTAGATAACCGTATAGGTTCACGAAAGTCATCCACAGGAGAGTAGAAAGAACAAGTCATTTTCCAGGTAAAACTAAATTGATTTTTATTGAAATGTCTTGTACATTTTCGGCTGGGCAGGATAAGATGTCACTTCATTTCCAGTGGTTTCTCACATCTAAACACTGCCAGGGGTTTTTAACCTTGTTACTTCCTCATTAAGACTCTTGATCAAACCTCTTCCCTCCCACAACAATGAGTCACATTATTCATGTTGCTCAGACCCAATTTAAGCATCTGTATTTGATAAAGACAGAAATGTTCGGAGGAAAAGGAAGAGGACACACATGATAGAGGACACACATGATGGAGGACACCCTGAAGGTTTAGCCCATCATACATTTGCTGAAATTGCATTTTATGCTTTATATTCTGGGAAATGACCGATTCAAGGGGTTAAGGGGATCAAAATAATAATAATAATAATAATAATAATAATAATACACTGACCCTGCAGCCCGTGAACGAAGTAAGAGTACATCTCAAGTAGAGCCTAAAATCGTGAACAATTTTAATCTGCGTTGTCTTTGTTTTAATGAGACACATCCAAGATACAAGTGCTGATTTTCTGTCAATATCAACTTGAGACAAAAATAAATAAGCCAGGTCTGTTTTTAGATTAAATTGATTCTGACAGCCGAACAAAACAGCCAGTCTGCTGCAGAGACTGACTCTTTGACAGAATGCCACAACCCAAAATATATTTCAAATAGATCCAGCCAATGCTACTTAAATATCAATTTGTGGGGATAACATGGGGATAACATGGGGCTACATATTCTCCCTAACACAGGAGCAGCTGACTAGCCGAGAAGGAGCGAACCACTTCAAAAAGCAGATAGTCAACACCTTCAGTTGTGATCTCTGGGCACAGTGACTCCTCTCTACATCCCCAAATGTAACGAGACACATATTCCAGTATTTGTGTCTCTTTAAATTAATCCCCAATCATACATTTTACTCCAGTGATGCGGAACCAAAGAAGTATTTAATTTTTTGGCAAACAGTCTAACACAGGTTTGTAAACACATTTTCCCTTGTTGAAATAAAGACTTTTCATAGAAGCCATTCATCCATCCATTGAACTAAACCTATCAATGTTGACAAAAAAAAAAAAAAAAAAAGGAATCTTCCACTAATCTGCAGAACTCAAACTGAGAATCAAATACATTTGAAATCCTAATAGAGATTTGTTCTCTGGTGGATGTTTTTTGCTTCTTTCTAGGAACAGAAAGGGTTTTCCGCCGGGTAAAGCTGAAGAGGTTCGGCGCGCTCCTTTCCCAGGCTCTGCGCCGTTACGGAAAATAAGGATCTTCTAAATCTCTTCGATTAAGATCTGAGACGTCAGCCAGGTTGATCCTGAGTGCTCTGGCTAGTCAAACACTATATAGCAGCTTTTTTTTGTTTTTCACGTTTATCACTTTTTCTCCACATTTCTAGTTTTTTCCTTACACCTGTCACATCCGTACGGACACACACACACACACTCATACCATTTGTAACACTCCTTCCAGACTAAACTTTCTTCCTTCACCGCTCCGACATGCGCACAGACACACACACAACCTGTTTCCAGGCAGTTATAGTTCCTTTGTGTAGCCCCCCTAAGGGTCGCCAGACTCGACGTTTTCCGAGTGTAAACACCTTAAGGCACCCATAATGCAATGTGAACACTAAACACTGATGGTGCAGGGAGTACTTCCCCTCACCGACAGGGGGTCGCACTCCTTTAGTTTCCCAACCCCCTCCACCCCATGTGGCCATTACAACTAAATGTACAATCCATGCACACATACTGTTGTTGCTTCTCACTCAGGTCAGAGCCCTCCTGCCGTCTCCTTTCCTTTCCCCTTCATCCTCAAACTCAGCGAGGTTATCCAGTACAGTTTTATGAAAGGAGAGGAAATGAGGCAGGAGAGACGTCTGTCCCAAATGAGATGACACAATGGATCTCGCGTGCAAAATGGCTTCACAAAGTCAAAACACATAAGGCCTGCGGTATTTCTTTTTGCATTGTTGTCAAAAGTTAAACAATATATCATCTGCGGACTCTTCTTTGCACTACGAGTCCCAAAATAAATAGATCTCTCCCTCTTTTTTTTTTTTTACTTAAATACAAGTTCATATTTTCTCTGATGCTCAAAAATACTTTTTTTGTTCTTTTTTTTTGCCTGAAGATAAAGTCCTTAAAAAAAAAGGTTAGAAGATTTCCCCCCCCCCGAACCCCTTCACACATGCGGGCAGCCCCTTCCCCTGAGCCGGTGGTTTGAAATTCCACAGGAGCTCTTTGAGAAATAAACATAGGAGAAAGCAAAAAGACGGAGGGTAAAGTCAAAGTAAGTTTGTTTTTTTAAAGATTGCAGGCAACAACGAAGCCAGTGGAATCAAAGATGGGAAAAGAGGTAAGGAATGAAGGAACAAAAGGATGATGGGAGAAGGAAGACAGCTGGATGTGGAGGCAGTAACTGAAGGGGTGTTAATAAATAACAGCCGGTCGGACACCCCCTCCTGGGTCCACGCTCCTCTCTCAATACTGACAGTGGACAGCTCAGCACCAGGCCGTGGATCTGCGCTGGTCGAAGTCAGCGATGAGCCGCTTGATGTGGGCCAGCTTGTTGTGCAGATACTCGCAGCGCTGCTTCTCCTCGTGGTAGTTGGGGCTGTGCTGTAAAGCAAACGCACACATAATATCAGACTCCTGCTGCGCTAGACAGAAGGACAGCAAGCAGAATCAACATGAGAAACAACAAGCAAGTGTTTTGTTAGTGTGTATAAAAAAAAAACAGACAGAAGTGTAGAAGCACTCACGTGTTTCATCTTTTTGTACTCTTTCAACACTTCTTCTTGCACCTTCTGTAAAAATGAAAAATCACTTTTAATGCATTTGAACAGTACAATTACATTCATTGTAACAGGACAACACGTATACATTTAACTGATATAGAAATCCAAACTCTAAAGTGATATCCGTGTGATAACATGGCACAAAAGCAGCACCTAGAAACAATTATCCATGGAGACCGATTTTGTAGATAATAATAATAATAATAATAATAATAATAATAATACTACTACTACAGGGTTCATACACTTTTTCACCAATGATTTTCCATGACTTCTCCATGACCTTTACCTCATTTTCCATGACCAAAACAATTACTCTCTCTCAGCAGTACCACTGAAAATGGTTTATTTTAACATGGAACAGGACAATAAGGTCTGCATATGATACATGTTGTGCCTATCTAAAACAAATCAAATAGGCTTACTAGCTTCTACAGGCTTAAGCCACTAAAATCCCTCACCAGCAAAATACCTCGTCAGTTAAATGCCATTTACTTTACTCGTTTCATTACTATACGATACAGTATTTATTATCAATATAGTATTACTATTTCGGCGAATAGCTAAAATATAAATTATATTTGATGCAACTTTAGTTACATTTCCATGACTTTTCCAAAACTTTGGGAAAAATATTGTTTTCCATAACTTTTCCAGGGCCTGGAATTTGCTTTTTGAATTTCCATGACTTTTCCAGGTTTTTAATGACCGTAAGAACCCTGATAATAATATACTTATTCATCTAAAATATAAACAAAGACATCACTTCTTCCTTCCTGTGTATTCAAATATATTACCAAACAGTCTAAGCCAGGGCGGTCAAACTCAATTTCATCTCGGGCCACATTAGCATCATGGCAGTGTTGTAGTCAAGTCACCAATTCACGAGTCCAAGTCACTCTTCGAGTCCGAGTCACCAAGGGAGAGTCGTAGTCGAGTCCGAGTCCAAGTCCGAGTCACCCAAGGAGTGTCCGAGTCGAGTCCGAGTCCGAGTCATCATTACCTGTGTTCGAGTCCGAGTCCAAGTCCGAGTCGCCCAAGGAGTGTCCGAGTCGAGTCCGAGTCATCATTACCTGTGTTCGAGTCCGAGTCCAAGTCCGAGTCACCTAAGAAGAGTCCAAGTCAAGTCCGAGTCACAAGTCTTCATGTATTAATCTTCGTGGATATATGTGTTGAAATGTAGCTGCTCCTCTACATTGCTTTTATCCTGTCATGTTATACTAATCTGTCTATTGAACTGCTGTGAAGCCAGTTTGGCTACAATTCTTGTAATAGGTGCTATACAAATATAAAGCTTATTACTAATATTAATATTATTATTATTATATATAAATAAACTATGTTTAAAATGAGTTACCTTTTAGCAGTGTTGTAGTCAAGTCACCAATTCACGAGTCCAAGTCACTCTCGAGTCACCACTCTTCGAGTCCGAGTCACCAAGGGAGAGTCGTAGTCGAGTCCGAGTCCAAGTCCGAGTCACCCAAGGAGTGTCCGAGTCGAGTCCGAGTCCGAGTCATCATTACCTGTGTTCGAGTCCGAGTCCAAGTCCGAGTCGCCCAAGGAGTGTCCGAGTCGAGTCCGAGTCCGAGTCATCATTACCTGTGTTCGAGTCCGAGTCCAAGTCCGAGTCACCTAAGAAGAGTCCAAGTCAAGTCCGAGTCACAAGTCTTCATGTATTAATCTTCGTGGATATATGTGTTGAAATGTAGCTGCTCCTCTACATTGCTTTTATCCTGTCATGTTATACTAATCTGTCTATTGAACTGCTGTGAAGCCAGTTTGGCTACAATTCTTGTAATAGGTGCTATACAAATATAAAGCTTATTACTAATATTAATATTATTATATATAAATAAACTATGTTTAAAATGAGTTACCTTTTAGAGAAGTGATTATATTTGTATGCCAATATTTTCCTATGGTAAAGTTTTAGTTTTGCCCTTTTATTTTGATAGTAATAAGATCGGGACTCTTATTTTGAAGGAACTTTTACCGGTTAAATCGGTTTACTGATGAAGATTTAGCCCCAGAAAGCACATGGCTACTTAGCATGCAAAATGACGTCATTCTGCATGTTAAGTAGCCGTGTGCTTTCGTGTTATCGGCTGAATCTTTATTTATTGATTAGATCACGTTACTCTGATGATAGTGTTCAAGACAGCCTATATGTCTTAACTCGATGTTTAGAGTAATGTGTTACGGAGCCTTCTCTTCAATATTGTTTCCACAGAGCATTTTGCGCTGCTCTTTTCCAATGTGGAAGCAGAATGTGTGAAAGCATACAGCAAGATGCGGGGTGTGTCTCTAGACATCTTTAGACTGGAATAGCGGGGCCCAGTACGTGAACTCGCCTCGCAGCCGGTGCACACGCCAGGATAGAGGACATCAGACTCCATAGAAAACTTGCTCGAGTCCGAGTCGGAGCGTCAATGTACAAGTCGAGTCCGAGTCATCGTGGGGGAAAAAATTCACGAGTCCGAGTCCGAGTCCAAGTCAGCGTACGCGATAATTCACGAGTCCGAGTCCGAGTCCAAGTCATCGTGTGCGAGAATTCACGAGTCCAAGTCCGAGTCGCGTCAATCAGTGCGCGAGTCCGAGTCTCACGAGTCCCGAAAATCGGCACTCGAGTCCGACTCGAGTCCGACTCGAGTCCGACTCGAGTCCGAGTCCAGGACTCGAGTACTCCATCTCTGCCTTTTAGAGAAGTGATTATATTTGTATGCCAATATTTTCCTATGGTAAAGTTTTCGTTTTGCACTTTTATTTTGATAGTAATAAGATCGGGACTCTTATTTCGAAGGAACTTTTACCGGTTAAATCTGTTTACTGATGAAGATTTAGCCCCAGAAAGCACATGGCTACTTAGCATGCAAAATGACGTCATTCTGCATGTTAAGTAGCCGTGTGCTTTCGTGTTATCGGCTGAATCTTTATTTATTGATTAGATCACGTTACTCTGATGATAGTGTTCAAGACAGCCTATATGTCTTAACTCGATGTTTAGAGTAATGTGTTACAGAGCCTTCTCTTCAATATTTTTTCCACATAGCATTTTGCGCTGCTCTTTTCCAATGTGGAAGCAGAATGTGTGAAAGCATACAGCAAGATGCGGGGTGTGTCTCTAGACATCTTTAGACTGGAATAGCGGGGCCCAGTACGTGAACTCGCCTCGCAGCCGGTGCACACGCCAGGATAGAGGACATCAGACTCCATAGAAAACTTGCTCGAGTCCGAGTCCGAGTCCAAGTCAGAGCGTCAATGTACAAGTCGAGTCAGAGTCATCGTGGGGGGAAAAATTCACGAGTCCGAGTCCGAGTCCAAGTCAGAGTACGCGATAATTCACGAGTCCGAGTCCAAGTCATCGTGTGCGAGAATTCACGAGTCCAAGTCCGAGTCGCGTCAATCAGTGCGCGAGTCCGAGTCGAGTCACGAGTCCCGAAAATCGGCACTCGAGTACTCCATCTCTGCATCATGGTTGCACTCAAAGGGCCAGTTTTATATATAAAACTATATAAAAATACATATATAAATATTTACTATATATAAAATAATGTATTATATTACATTATTGCCTCTGCATTGGATTATTATGGGATAGGGTAATAACCTAATAATTAACTACGTCTGAAAGCAGAAGTCTGGGGCAAATAATTGCAAGTCTCTTCAGTGAGAATGTCACAAAATGATTTTAAAAGAAAAGTGAAATTCGGAAAAAAAAGTCAAAAATAAAAATATAAAGTGAAATTTTGAAAAAAAAGTAACATTTTGAAAATAAAGTCAGATTCTGAGAAAAAGACAAATTTAAGATGCATTGTGGAACATGTAGTTCATGGGCAACGAGCTTCTGTAAAGCATAATGTAACCGTATAATAAACATATTTTATTCTTTGCCAGCTCTTGCGGGTCCGCACGAAGTGAAGTCACGGGCCGGATTTGGCCCCCGGGCCTTGAGTTTGACACCCCTGGTCTAAGCCAACAGCTCCATGGTGTTTAGTTAAGGCATCTACAAAACACTTAGCTCTTACAATAAAAAGTAAATCATCATGTTAACTGCTACAAGGAATGGACAACATAAGAACCCCTCTGGAGGAGACTCAACAATCTCTGTAGTGCTTATAGGAAAGGGGTCCGCTACCTTTTACTGAGAGTTTATCCGACCTTGCCATTTAGAACGACAAACCCACCATAAATGCTCGATAAGGATTACACAGTAAGTGGCTTTAAAGAAACTGGCATGTAGAAATGTTTCACGCCAACTGGTCTGACCTGGTATTCTTTGGTGCCCGGTGTCATCTTCCGGCACTTGGCGTCCAGCTGGGTGAAGCGGCGGGTGATGTTCTCCACGCGGGCGTGTAGACGGCGATACTCATCGTACTCTGCGTTGAAGTCATCCTTGTAGCTTTGCCGCTGGTCAATGGACACCATGGGCATGTACTTCCTGTAGACACACAGAAGGTCATTTCAGTGTGTTCAAAGCTACAAGGACTTTCCTTGTTTTGAATACACCTCGCTAAAGGTCGTGATCTTTACTGAAAGGTGAGATCCTGTTGAGATTGTCTATCTGTGCAGTGAATAATATAGACGTTTTACCAATGAGGTGGAAATTGCAAAACATTTAACGTGCAGCAAAGAAAATGAATCACATCCGTGTTAGTTTCTGGGTTTTCTGTGTCCTAATTCTTAGGAACAGAAATGTTTTAAACTGTGAAATGAGAGAGCTGAAGGGTAAAGAGGTCGAGGTGACTCACACAACATAGTCGGGCATCTCAATTGTAGAGGAGAACTCGGTGGGCTGGTCCGTCTTCTCTGGTTTCTCTGGCTTCTCCGTCTTCTCTGGCTTCTCTGGCTTCTCCGTCTTCTCTGGCTTCTCCGTCTTCTCTGGCTTCTCCGTCTTCTCTGGCTTCTCCGTCTTCTCTGGCTTGTCTTTATCTGAAGAGTCTGAAGAAAGAGAGGAACGTTTGAGACTCTCAGATAAGATAAGACACCGTGGAAACGTACTCGTTATAGGAGCTCAAAAAAGTAAATAAGCAGAAGAAAAAGTGATAGGGATACAAGTACAGAAATGTCCATAAGGGATAATTGCAAAAATAAACAAATATATACTGCACTGATAATCCAATATTAACAGGATTAAAATGTGAAGAATGACTGACAAACATCACAAATGATCCTTTGTATTAGTAGAGTTGCTTTGGTCTGCTATATTTGCCAAATAATCCGTCACATATAAGGAATAGACCGCAAATGATGAATTCCTGTACTGGGAATACATAGAATAAGCACTACTTGCTTATATGACCTGCATTAGCATTCTCTTTAAAAAGAAAATAGTCTCTGAAATAACAACCACAACATTTGCAAGATCAGGTAAAGCAGAACTAATGAGGACAGTACACACGTTAACAGAGATACACATTACACACACGTTTTGATTTGTGGACACTAGGAGGCAGTGCAAATCCAAAACGAGCTGACAGTATAACTGGAGAATTCTACATATTTAAACAAAAAAGAAGATCTGTTTGAAAAAGAAATCACACCATTATCATTTTAATACAATTATTCCAATGAAAACAATTATCTTAAAATGATAGTTTCTTTCTAAAAAAATGTGCGGGCAGACACAGGAATATTATCACCCCAATGTTTTCTCTTTTACACAACGGACATTTGAAGTCGTCATGATGGGAAACGCACAGGTTTCTCAGGCAGGGTATATGCAGGAATCCTGAAGTCACATGTAATACCTTTTAAGACCTTTTTTAAGACATTTTAAGACCTCATCGCCACTTTGAGTTGTAACCGGTTACATTGGTGACACACTTTACCTCACATTGACTATATACAGTATTGATTGTCCTTCCTCCTTATCTTCCAACCATTTAGACGCAAACTTGCATTTCCCCATAACGATGTTGTTTAACAACCGGCGTAAACGGACCTTCGCGCGCTATCAGTCAGTGAGCGTGCGATGTCCTGTTCAGATGACGTCAAATCCAACGGGATGCCATAAATAAACTACACAGAATCACACTACACACCTACGCAATGATTACATTCAGGCAAACAATTTATATACTTATTGAAAACAAGCTACAAAATGTAATACCTTGGAAAATGCCGTTTAATACTTTTTAATAGCCTTCATTTTCGCTAAATTGATTTATCAACTTTTAATACTTTTTAAAGACCCCGCAGACACCCTGTCAGGTTATTTCACAGGTAATAAAAAAAATGTATTTCCATAATCATTTTTTGCTTTGGTCCGTACAAACTTCTGAGAAAATCCTGATTCAGCAGGTAGTAACCTGAGGTTGTCCACTTTGTCTGCTTTTTGAAGAGGGAGTGGTGCACATTGTGTTAATCAAAGCTTGTTTTTATAGAAATGTGTGGGTTTTAAATGCTATCTGGAAATGATGCTCATTCTGTGGGTGTGACACAAGAAACAAGCCCTGTTCCATAACATGTACTTAATTTAATACAGTGTCAATATTACTTCTCTTTTTGGATAAATACACCTTTGAAGATCTCTTCCCAACTAAATTCCCACAAACAGTAAGTGACAGTGCTTTGAAGTGTGCGTAAAGCATCAAAAAGGCTGATAGACAATGTCTTAAAACCTTTGGTTCAGTGAGTCTGATGATTAATAATGACGACAGAAACACACCTTGTTCTTTGTGAGGGATCTTGTCGATGACTTCTTCTTGAGTTCGTGTCTCTTCCTCTGCGTTGCGCTTCCTTTTGGCTTTGCGACAGTCTACGGCAGGCTCAGCGGCGCCGGGCGGACTCCTGCTACCTTTGTCCGTCCGCTTCCCTTTGTCCCGCTCTCGATCCTTATCTTTGTGCTTCTTGGATTTCTTCTTCACCTTCTTGTTGGCGCTGCTGGACGAGGGGGGGCTGCTGATGACAGTGGAGGTGACTGTGAGGGAGGTGCAAGAGGAGGGGGGAGGAGGAAGAGGAAGAAGAGGGGGAGGAGGAGGAGGAGGGCTGGGCGAGGCGGCCGGTCTGGGGACGGGGGTCCGGTAGCGGTCCTGCGGGGTCCTGTCAGAGGAGAAGGGGCTGGGCGAGGGGTCCCTGCAGGAGGAGCTCTGGTCCATGGGCAGGTCCTGGGTGCCGCAGCCCTCGGGGGTGCTGGGGGAGTTGGAGTGGGAGGCCGGGCTGGGCTGCTGGTGAGACGGGGCGGGGGGGTGGGACGGGACGGGGAGATGGGCGGGGGGGCCCGAGGCGACGTTGGAGGGGAGGGACGAGCGCTTGGAGCTGGGGCTGCCCTCGGGGCGGTCAGAGGAGGAGGCGGCGGGCCCCCGGCTGCTGAGGTGGGAGATCCGGGCTTTCTTGGGGGCCAGAGGGTCGATGAAGTCAAAGTCTGGCTGGAGCTTCTGGAAGTCAAACATACAAGATGAAGCTAAGAAAGTGCATGGTTTACCGTAGAGGTGTGTGTTAGTGTGTATTTGCTCAGATACCTGCGGGGACGTGGGGACGCTGTCTTTGGAAGGACTGCTTGAGGAGAGGGTCTCCAGAGGAAGACCCAATTTCCTGTTAGAGAAAGACAACGTGGTTAGTGCGGCGAAACAGACAGGACACATTAGAATCCAGTAATCAAACTTTTGTGTCTATTTAAAAATCACAGCTCATGTTGTACACAGGAATATATTTGTGAGTAAGCACACATGCATGGAAACAATGGTTTAAAATGTTTTAAATAATCTGCATTGCAAAGGTTTTAGGAAGGAAAATATTTGACATGTTTGTCGGGTCTTAAGGTTTCACCGAATGCTGGGCTGGTGAGTAACACTAAGACAGCTTACAATACTTTACAAGAAATGATCAGAAAGTCTGTAAAGCATTACAAGTGCTCATTTAGTGCTAATGCAATTACATTTTCATATAATTAACCTAATAATAACTGCTGAAGTGCTAAGACTAAATAACATGAACACTTGTCCAAAATAAGGAAAATGATAAGTGTAAAAACTAAACCTGATGGTGTGCTACATAAGCCATTATAATACTTTAAAGTTGAGCCATTCCTTTAACATACGGACTGAAGGTTGCTAGTGGTGAATTCATGTCAGCTCTGGCCCTGATGATGGCACGTTTACAACACAGAACACTGAGCAAACAAACATTGGGATCCACAGCAGCCTACACTACAGTTGGTGCTTTTCCTTCACACAGCACTGTTTACCTGACAGACAGCTTTACCTGACAGCCAGCTTTACCTAGCCGCCGCCTGCAGGGGGTTTCAACTAGTACTTACACTTAAGTGTGGTTCAACACCATGGGATGCAGATACTTTATTAGTTCAGACAGGTATGTATTTAGAGTCAGAGGGAAAATAAAATGCTAAATAGGCCACATCAGTACCGAGCCACGATCCGGTCCACCTGGGTCTTCTCATCTTCAGAGTAGCCCGGCCAGTCTCGCTGGATGTCTCGATAAATAAAGTCCTTCAGTGAGAATGTGTTGTCTTTGGGGTTCAGGTTGGCCACCTGTTTGGAGCACACAGAAACACACGTCGGTTAAACTGACAGCACGATACATGTACAGAAACTTCACACTTCCTGTGCTGGCCAAACATCTGTGCATGCAAATTGACCAATAAAGTGTCTTGCTTTTTGTTTGATCTTGTGTTTAATGGGGGGAAGGTGATCTTTTGGACACAACAATTAGGGTGAAATTACTAAATGTCATATTTTATAAAAACAGAAGTGACTACTTCTGGATTTTAATCAACAGGAATACACTTACATTTTTGTTTTGTCATGCTTTTCTCTGTGAAGCATAAATGTAGTTACATTTCGTTGTGCAACCCTGTGTTGCAAAACAACAATATATGATTCTTGAAACTCCAAAATGGAGGACATGTTGATGCTAATAATCATACATCATATTGTGGCAGACACCTTACAGTACCTGTTGCAGGGTGGTTCCTAATGAGGTTCGGTCCTTCTGGTTGATTCCGTCCCGCTGCAAACGTGCGAGCACTTCCAGCTTCTTGTAGGGCCGGAGCGCCATCAGGTGGATGAGGCGGTCCCTGAAGGGCCGCTGGGCCACGGGGTTATTGGAAAGGCACTTACGAATAGTGTTGGCTGGGTTGATGGGTGTGGAGCGTTTACGCTCGGGGACCACGTCATGGCCCGATAGCGCTGGCTTACGGATATGGACTTGCTTTCCTAGAGGGAAAGAAAATACAATTTGAAACATTTTTATTTTTCTGCATGGAAGTTCATCATCGTACATTAATATGCCGTCACATTTTCCCTCAACAATACACCTTTCTATCATCTTGATAGTTACTGAAGCCAAAAGCCTCAAATGAACCTAAAAACATGTAAGCTGTAATAAGCTTTAAGAAGAATTTTTTTATTTGTTTCAGATGGCCAAAAAAAACGTACACTTGAACCTTGGAAACTAGATCTGAAGGTTACACAAGGTGAAATTACGGGTGGTTCCTCATATCTAAGTTCGGGCAGACACTGCCTGCTTTTATGGCACCAATAACCATTACTACTTTCAGTGTTTACAGCAAAGAAGTCCCATTTATGGCCATTTAAATGACAGTTACCAAGAAATAAGGACACTGTTTACTTGATTGAAAATCACTGTATCAACTAAGAATAGCTTGAGAGTCTTGGTCATAGTTGTTTGTCCTATGGCGAAGGTTTTGAAAGACCCCTATACGTGACAAAAAGGGATCAGGATCCATTTAGAGAGGTTACACACTCTGCAGTGTATAATGACAGGGTGCTGCAGGTGGAAAGCTTATGTAACGATATTTCCTCTTTCAGAAAAAATCATTCTGTACATAGAAAACGTATGCAGAACAAGAGTATAGTAATTTACAGCCTGTGAAAATAAGAAGCTAAAGGTCCCTTTTGCATTAATAAATAGGGTGCCGACTCCCGACCAGCTGCTACATGCTCCTGTCACACCCCTTCCCTCGGCCGCCTCTCGTTTCCCAGTTTCTATCTGGGCCACTAAAGCTTATGCAAATGTTTCCCCGGGGCCCAGAGAAACAGGCCCGATGAGGTTTTAGTTTGTAGCAGGTTTGAGGACTGAGTTACACTTTTGATTTGAGTTAAAACAACGACATCTTTGATAAATGCTCAGATCTAACATACTCATTGACTCCAAACATGCATTCATGGCTAAAATGGTGGATAAAACTGAAACATTTCTTACTGAACCCAAGTTAGGAGTAAAGGTATGTATAATATTGTTTTTTTCACACTATTGTTTGATGAGGTTATCCCACCACTCAACCTACTGTATAAATAAATGACGAGAGCCATTAGATGGAGTATCTTGAAATATTTATCAAATCATAATTTTTTTGTTAATATCACATTCATAGGATATTTAGGACATTATTTAAGAAGTTAAAATAGCTACCTGTATCTAAAGTTCAGAGGAGGGTCTGCTATTTTTCAAAAGGAGCACAGTGGAGCTCTTTAACGGAGATTACATGATGTTTTAACAGGGTATAAAATCACTTCCAAAAGCTAAATAAAAAAAGAACTAACAGTACCTCCATGAAACCTGTTTACTCATTTACTAGCAGTGTTTAACAAAGACCACCACATTTATTTTCCTCCAGTGTTTCCCTGTGGTTTGTTAGACCTTTGATAGCGATACCATTTTCACATGATAAGAGAGCAGAGTGACGCTTCTCCTTCTCTGTGGCCTGCTCTGTTTTTTACCATATGAGCTTGCGCTTGAGATTCAAAAAGCAAGTAACCCTGCATGGTGACAAGTATAAAAGGGAAATACAAGTTAAGTCCTGCTTGGAGCTGATCACAACAGCACTTGTTGCCTGTCCTGGGACACTTTCAGTATAAATGTTGGCAGGCTATGTGTCAATAAAACTGAAATAGCTTCAGAAGCAACCTTTGGCCCTTATCAGTCAGACTGCTAATCTGGAAAAGACTGAGACAGCAAAATTGCCTACTCAGTTGTAATAACGGCTTTGAATGGAGCCAGGCCGTCAGCTTTCACCCATTCAGTCCCTCAAAGTCCCCCCCCAAGTTTGAAAAGACATGAGAGGTGTTGATAGGATTTAAATCCGTGCTGGTGTCCAGGGATCAGACTTGGCATCTGAGGGTAGAAAGGGGCCTTACCTCTGTACTGGCCCCCAGGCTTGATGACTTTGGTCCCACGTTCACGAGTGTCCTCCGCAGCCTGGGTCATGCGTTCCCGGGTCACCTGGTAGGAGTCATTAGTGGCACACACGGTGACTTTGTCCTGTACTGTGGCCAACATTGCCAGGTGTGAGGCCCCTGAGCTGGAGACAAAGACGGAGCGTGAGAGAGAACTGGGAGGCAGGGAGAGATTACCTTCTAGCAATGTGTGGTAAGACAGTAACAGTGGATTCAGCTGACTAACGTTACCTCGCAACATACTGATGGATGCACTCAAAGCTTCCCTGAGGGTTGTCTTTGCCCACATTAGACAGGTAGAAATCAAAACTGTTGAAAGGGTCTGGGGAGGAATCGTTCTTGGGAATTTTAATGCGCTGTAAGGGAGAAAAAGATAAGTTATACCATCTATTCACACCTGGGATGATTATTAAATGATGGGAGAATGACATTCATACAAACAGTTAATGTAGGTCTATAAAACTGCCATATGACAAACCACCTTCAACTCTTCCCTAGGTTTTCACCTTAGCGTTTGTGTATGCACATATTAATACCCTTTCACTAGCATGACAAAGGAAGGTCTCTGAGGTCTCAGCAGCTAAGAGGAGGCCGTATTTGAGTCTAAACAGTGTACATAGACTTCATAAGGGTCTGAAATGGGTGCCTCTGAACAGTTCAGCAGACAGTTTGCATAGAGGATAGGGTTTATATTAACAAATATAAATTAATAACCACATTAAAAGTAGTCCTACAAAGCTACTACATTTGCATTTAAATATTATGTACACTAGTATTAAAACTAATAATATATAATAATGTACAATAGTGGTGATTTAATAAGTGTAAACCGAGCAGTAGTTGAGCATCTGATTAACTAGACAAGTCAGTACAAGTTATTGGCTCTAAGCGATCATGTGGGGACGCCTTGATACAAATCAGCACATGCCACCAAAAAATGTGAAAGAATAAACAACATGAATAACTTGTCATTAAAGGAAAACCTCACACAGCGGCTAACGCTAAATTAGCTATTTTGTCGATTACAACACCGATTTGTTGTTCACTACTTTGACTCACTTGGTGAAAAAATATGGTTTGTTGATATAGTTAATTAATTTAAAAGTGTGTGCAAACTGTGTGTGGAGAAGTGTTTGGTTAAGAAGAAAAAACAGGAGAGAGAGAGCAAGATGCACAGACAGCAAACAGCTGTTAGCGAGACGGGCCTTACCCCTTGGAGTCCCTTGAATTGTATTGTGGGCCGCTGAGAAGGTACATTCTGTAAGTAAAGAGAAACAACCTTTTTACTGATAGCATCACTTTGAAAATGTAAAGTGTTATTGGCAGAGAAATACTAGTCAGGTAAGACGCAACAAATAGATACTACAAGACACATATTGGTGAAGAATCTGCAGAACATGCCACGCTATTTGACTGACACTGCAAACATTTGGTTGTAGAAACAGCAGAGCCTTGGGGTCCTATCGTGACAGCATCTAGTAAATGTTACATTTGAACATGTAAAGACAGACCACAGATAGGTGGTGGATAACATGCAAATGCCTTAAATGCCTTTGGTGACTGTCTGTATGTTAAAAGCGTTGTGCTGTGCCAGTTTTATGAATTGAGAGTATTTCTGATTTAGGGCTGCAACAAAAGGTGTATTTTCATCACTGATTAATCTGAAGACAATTCAATCAATTCATTTTCATGTTCAATAAAATGTCTGAAAATAGTACAAATACTAAATCCAATGTGATGTCCAACTGCTTGTTGTGTGACAACCAGTATACAAATGTAATACATTCGGTTTACAATCACAGAAAAAAGTAGCGGACCTTCACATACGAGAGGCTCAGGCTAGAACGTGTTGGGCATTTGGCAGAATAAAATAATTACAATCTTGACTAAAATAAAATAAAATCCGCAAAATAGTCTTTTGTTGTTGATCATCTGACATAAAGGTCCGGCTGCAGAAACAATGGTAACTGTCAGCCGAAAATACTTAATGAAGTCAGATGGCTAGGTCTCTAAAAAGAAACCTTGTGAGTCAACTTTACCTGCATCTTCTTTTTAAGTGGTTAAGAGGTGGGTGGTAGGTGAAAGTGTTTTATCTGCACACAAGCATGTGGAACCTGGACAAAACTCAAATACAGCAAATATTTGGACAAAGTATTTCTGAAATGTCTCTCTTTGTGTACGTTTACAGGTTTGAGTTTGATGGCTACTTGAAATGGAGTGGACAACCACAAATATGCAGTGGCTGCTCTGGGGCAGTTGGGAAGGGAAAGCACAGGAACGGCTTCTTCTTCCTTACACATCTGAGGCTGAGAAAACAGTTGGCCTGAATATACATTTCTTTAAAGTTGCATCCTTTGGTTTAAGTGGAATGTGCATTTTATTAACAACAGTTTCTCTGCATTGTTGGACATGAAAATAGGCTTGCTTACTTAACATGAAACAAGATGCAGATCTTAGATCAAATGTGTTCTTTTTTTTCCAGACTGAAAGAACCATGTCATGGTTGTTAAAGCTAAGCTACTCCAAGCCACTGACTGACTCCCTCCCCCACCCACCATCCATCCATACACTCACTCACACCAACCAGTCCTCACACACACCGTTCTGATCACATTTCACATCACCACAGAAAGACAAAGATAGCCAGCTTCCATAGTTCGATGACTGGTTGAGCTACATCACACGTTACTGAGAGGGAGAGAGGAACAAAAAGCAGGCAGTTTTGGCTGCTCAGTCAGCAAGAGATGGCAGGCTGCCGTTCAATGCAGCGTCAGACCAACATTACCATCCAATAAGGTTGTAGCATGGGTTGTCACAAAAGAATTCCTTCAACTTAGTGATGACTTGGTTTGCCAGATGTCCCAAACTCATTTTAAATTGTGCTATTAATCCACATTTGAATGTATTATACAGGTCTGAAAGAGAGCCATGGTTTCACATACAGGCGTGTGATCAGTGAGTGGCATACATACTGAAACACACACACCATGTGCCATAAAAAGCAGTCACAGAGAGACCTCTGAACACTACAGCCTAGTGCTAAGCTACAGTGCATCTGCCTAAAGCAGAGACCTAGGCCCAGTCAGTCAGGGTGTTATGTAACAGCGTTGTTGTTGGCAGACTTAAGGTCAGGTAACTCGGCTTCGAGGTCTCCGCAAGTCAAGACCGTAAAAGGTCCAGATTAGTATGTGTGGCACCTCAACAAGATTACACCATGTGTACAGTTAATTCAAGATTAACAAGTTATATTTATTTGCACAGGTATGCAAATGACTTATTAGCACACTCAGTTTTAAAAGCTTCACAATGACAGATGGCGTCAAGCTCGGGGGTGAAATGCAGTACATTTCATGAGGTAGTTTGATGAGAGCTACAAAGAACACAAATAAAGTCTATTTTAAATAAATGTCACTGATAGCAAGAGCCATTTTCCTATTATCTTTTTTTATCTAGGTTTGTCGCTCTCAGATACTATGTGACAATTGCCCTCTCGGGCAGCTTGAAGTAAAGTATGTAAAACCATTTCAACAATTTTGCAAACAAACCCATATTACATATTTGTCCAGTGTACACCTTTGAGGCCCTTGCTCATAACATGCATTAGCTTTAAGCATCCTGTAGCTACAATGTGGCAGCTTGTTTGACTGAAACAGTTTATAAAAAACTGAAATAGCTGGATGAGCCCTGCAGAGAGTTTCATATCTCTGCAGGTTGCGATGTGACGTTGTCCAAATGGGTTAAACTTCTCACCATATGCTAAGATGACCAGTCATAGAAACGCTCACACAACCACTAGTTATCAAGTTACTTTGGCCTTCATTGATCTGCAGATATCCATACTGACACAGAAATAATGGTACTACCTTGTCGAATGAAAGTTAATCTATCACTGTTTGTACTCTCAAATGTTTTTATCTGATGTTGAGTATTTTCTCAAAAGTAAAACAGGACAAACTATACAACTGGAAATGGACTGACTTTAAAACCAAATTTAGCTAATTTTTACTTTGAATTACAGCAATATATCACCACTATTAACAATAAGAAGACATCAAGACTAAATGTGTATTACAACTTTTTACTTGAAATGTTAGCTCTGTTTTCACTATTTTCTTAATATGCATTTCTTCATATGTATTTATTTATATTACATGTTGTTACTGTATATGCACCTATGTATCCCTGAGGTCAATGTGTTGTATGTATAAAATGTGTGATTCACATATATATTTTCTTGAATAAAAGGAGAAAAAAAAAAAGGAAAAAAAGTTCATTAGTACTTAACTAAGATAAGATTGTATGAGTGGGTGAGCGTTTAGTTTATAAAACTTGGCAAGCGAAAAGTCTATTGGTCGATATTAAATTACAACTTTCCTAATTTGGTCAAAGTAACGCTAGTTTGCCAAGAGAAAAATGGATCAGCCTGTACAGAGGATTCAAACTAAAGTAGCTAGCTCGCTAATCAGTGTCCAACTTTACCAACAGGTTTTCTAGACTAAATAACACTTGTCAGTTCGTAAAACCCGGCTAGAGCATTAGGCGAAACCCTCATTAAAACCATCCAGTTGGTAAATGTATCGACACACGACAAAATCAGTGAAAAAAACAAGAAGAAAGTCGCTCTGTCAACAGCTTAGCTAACTTTGTAGCTTTAGCTGTGCGTGGCAGTTGGTGCTTCCCAGCTGAGACGAGCTGTGTCAGCCCCGCAGTGATGGCTCATTTTAACGGGAATAACCGGTCGTTTCACTCACCTTACAATGTTGGTGGCTCTCTATGGCTTTCAGCGCTGTCTCGGTCAATTTGACATGTAATACGGTGACTCTATCAGCGCTCTGTCGGCCACAATTCAATCCGTACCTCCCATCCTCGGAGAGCGCCGCCATCTTTACCAGCCCTCCACCATCGTCCCTTTGAGGCTGGAGCATTAAGCAGCCGAGGTGCTCTCTCTGGCCCGGGGAGGGACTACAGCTGCTGCTGTCTTCAGGCTGACACTAGTGGATTGGTCTTGACTTGCTTGCTCGTAAGTTATTTACTTTCCAACTACAGTAAACTCACAATAAATCATATATCATTCTGCTTAAGACTGTGGTGGAAAGCAATTCAAAAACGTTTATTTAACTATGGTATACTGCCAGTGGTGTAAAGTAACTAAGTAGATTTACTCAAGTACTGTACTGAAGTACAATTTTGTAGGCCTACTTTACTTGAGTATTTCAATTTGTTGCTACTTTGTACTTCTACCCCACTACAATTCAGAGGTAAATAGTTTACTTTTACACCACTACATTTGTTTAATACGTTAAGATACTTTGCAGATTTGGATTAATAATGTGAAATTTAAACAACACTTAAAAAGGACTTTAGTTGGAGTAACATTCAAAAGCTACCCTGCAGTGTACAAAGTATTTAAAACTAGCTGCTAGTAATACCATTTGCATTTGGTATTATGACGCTATGGTGGAAAGTAATTCAAAACATTTCATTAACGACTGTAGCCTTCTTACATATTTCATTGGTTGAAGAAGTACTCAGATTTGTTACCTTAGTAAAAGTAGCAATACTAAGTTTAAAAAATACTTTAAAAGTCCTGCATTCAAAATTGTACTTAAGTAAAAGTACAATCAATCAAAATATACTTAAAGTACCAAAAGTAAAAGTACTCCTTATGTGTAATGGTGCATTTCAGAATCCTATATTGAGTTACTGGGTTTCTATTATGAGTATTCATGTGTTTTTATCACAAATGTAGAGCTAGTTTGAATAACTTGATATACTGCTGCTGGATATCTTAACCTATACATATATGTCAGAGTTTAGTTAATAAGTTATTTAAATGTTGTATCAGCTAATAATCCAAACCTAAAAAGTAACTAGTAACAAAGGCTGTCAAATAAATGTAGTGAAGTAAAAAGTACAATATTGGCGTCTAAAAGGTAGTGGAGTAGAAGTATAAAGTAGCATAAACTGACAATACTCAGGTAGTATATTCAAGTAACTCAAAATTGTACTTAGGTATACTCAGGTAATGTACTTTGTTACTATTCATCACTGGGCCTGTGTTACTTTGTACTTTAACATGTCAAATAGTATTTTTACATTTTACATTACATTTCATTTAGCTGACGCTTTTTATCCAAAGCGACTTACAATTACCAATTACAGGGACATTCTCCCTGGAGTAACTGAAGGCTAAGTGCCTTACTCAAGGGCACACTAGTGGTGGTGTTCCTGGCAGGATTTGAACTCACAACCTTCCAATCTTCAGCCCACCTCACTATCCATGATTAGACCACCACTATCCTTAATATTTCTACAGAGATATTCTGCCGCTTTATAACAAAGTAAAATATCTTCCAATATTTGCTTTAGGCCTTCATGATTTCACACATAACAAGTGTACCATGATTTATTTAGCTTTAAACTGGGTTCTGCTATCCATTTACAGAATCCAGACTGCTGTCATATTTTGCTCTTTTAAAGCCTCAATGGAGGAAACATTCTAGTTGCTAGTATCCCTTTCTCTGTAAGGGCACAGCCTGTCTCTCAAACACGCACACTGTACACTGTACACACACACACACACACACACACACACACACACACACACACACACACACACACACACACACACACACACACACACACACACACACACCACACACACACACACACACACACACACACACACACACACACACACACACACACACACACACATTAGTTACCTCTTGGCTAAACTGCCCCGGCCTGCTGTGTTTTTGCTGACATGCTAGAACTAATTCTAGCCTGGTGAAACTGTTAAAGGTAGCTGTTGTAGACTATACTTCAGTGTGAACTCCGGTTTGTTTAAATACAGTTTTAGCTGGCATTATAATACATACCAGCTTAAAAAATGTACTAAAGGACTTCTCGGACTATGTTTGTATCTAGCCTACTAATTAAACAAATAAACTGCCTAGAATTCTGAGGTGAATATACTAATATGTAATGCTTAATAGTAAAACCAAGTGCTATGCTTTTGATTGTTTCAGATACATTCTGACTAAATTCTTGTATTATGGCATTGTCAACCAGGACAGTTTTTCAATGCCAAAAACGATAGTGCCTATAATGAATTTTGGGCTCTAATGATCTTTCGGGTGGTTTTCTTTAATGATATGTGATAGACTGTATGTGACATCAGCACAATGGGCACAAGCGTGTCCCCGAGTGAGCTGCTCCTCCGCTATCTCTCAGTGTCAGTCCCCTTGACCTGGTGATAGGGCAGCATGTTGTGGTGTAGAGCAAGCCATGCAGGGTGGGGAAAGGCCTGTGTGAATCCAGCAGATTACCATAGCTCTTAACCCCACCCATCCCCCTAACAAGTCACACACACACTTTTGGGACTTTTTTACCCACTGACAAATTAGTTATTCTTTTTACCTGAAAAACACACAGAAAATATTAGTTAATGTGTGAAATGTAAATCTGAAACAATATTATTCGCCCTTAAAATCAATAGCATCATTGATAGTACCCTTCTTCTACTCAACAACAGTTAAACATAAGCCTTATTGGGTTGACAAAAATTGCTTCAGAGCATTACAGTACCTATATTAAAAATAAATTAAAGACTTCTCTTGGTTTGAATACATGCAGATTTTAAGTCTGTTTAATTCCAGAGGTGCTCTGTGCTCTGGTTAGTCTGACAGGTCGCCTGCTGTGCAAACAATTAAATAAAGCCTTTGGGCTGGATTGATTTGAGAGATGTTTTGTTTACAGAGGCCCTGAAGGTGTCACCTGATAGAAGCTCAAGAGCACAGTGTGAAGAATACTTAAAAATTACACACCCTTTGCTTAAGGCTAAACATTAGGAGACTATGGATTAATTGACTGTGAAGTCCTCCCTTAATTGTATTACCAGCTTGCTATGATGATTGACCAGAGACACTTATCTTTCAATTCATTGTCTCATTTTCTTCTCAACACAGTTACATCCTCCTTCATCACCGCGTTTAATTCCCCCTAAATTACTTTTCATAGTTCTGTGTTTATGCCAGGAATAACCTTCTACCTTATGCAATTCTGAGAAAACATCTAGGTTAATGATTGATAGTTGTATCTTTTGGCCGGGCTCCAATTTTGGTGATAATCATGCCCCTTTCACACCGGCGCTTTTCCAGCTCCTGCTGGGAGCTAGAGCCTGAAAAGCGCCGGTTTTTCCTGTTCACACCGCAGCGGCGGCGCGTCATAGCTCCGGAATGCGGTTCACTTCCAGCTCCAAAAAGTTGTCGGTCCAGAGCATAGACTGTATATATAAATGGACGTAGGGTCCGTGACGTCACCCATAGGATTCTGCAGAGTTGCCGAGAAGCCCTTAGTAGGCGGAGTCGGCCACTAACGGCTCGACAGTGACGTCTGAGTCTAACTCCCGCCTGCTCCAAATAAGGGCAAAGAGGCGGAGCCGAGGCGGGACCTTCTGCCTCCAGCTGGGAAGTAACAGAGCTAGCTCAAGCTAAGAAGCTAAGCTAACATGCTTCCCCATCAGCACACTGCCGTCACATTTTACGTTTCTAAGGTAAGCGGACATGAAACTATTCAGCAAAACTATAAATAATAATCTAAGTTATTGAGTTTTTAGCATAATACTTCAGAATCTTAAAATCCCTTAACGTTTGTATGCAATGTGCTAAATGCAACACTGGAATCAAGCAAATATTAATATGTTTGCATGACATTAGTTATTTATATTTTGCTATCACTTAATTATACGTTTAATACATTTAAGTTAAGCTAAGGTGCATGTGATGGTAGCTAGTTAGTGCTCTTACCTGTGAGGCCTCCTCCAAACCGCATTATAACCAGACTGTATCATTAAAACTATAAGTACCAGTTCTAGATCCTTGACTTTAGACAAACAATACAAAAGACAAAATGTATTTAAAGACCAATCTTTATTTGAAGGTGCCTCTTAACCTGGGATATTAGTTATACAGTAATAGTATTGACAATCTAAAAAAACTGAGCAACTCAACAGTCAACTTTATATTTCTTATTGTCTAAAGCATTTATTATTTTCATTTTCCCCTCTCATATTCAGTGTGGACGGATTGAGACAGCGTGGTGTCCAGAGAGCTGCAGAGACTTCAGGGAGAAACCTCCGTGTGATGGACGTCCTGTCTGTTGGTTTGGAGAGGACTGAGGGTCTTTCCTCTGTGAGGAGGATCAGGCCTGATGGAGGAGCCCATGCATAGCTGATACCACCTGATCAGGCCTTGTCTGTCACTTTATTTGACTAAATGTGTTTACTTATACATTTAATAGGTTTACACCTTCTGTCCATATGTGCTTTTTTATTTAAAACATGTTTGATTAACTTTTGGTTCAGATTTCAATAAATTGAATTTGTATTTGCACTCCTTTTGTCCATTATTCTTACTGAAAATGTTAGATTACACATTCACATCCGACTGAAGATTGGCCCCATTTATTTGCGTTGCAAACTCTGCGGTACAAGGTACATGTTGTGAAGCTCATAAAGTGAGGCAAATAGAATTAATCAGCTGATGGAGTGTAGATGTGGAAATAGGTGCATTCGATCAGCTGACTTCACAATAAAAGTAGTTTCTTAGTGAATGTCCTGTACTGGTCTTAAAATCTCATAACATCAGCTTTTAATTTTCCTCTTGGATGTTCTTCTTGACCCTCAGAGAAGGAGAACATGTTGAGTCGTGTCTTTCAGGCATGTCCTTTCCTAACAAAATTACAGGAAACATAAAGCATATTATTGCAGAACAAGTGTGTTATTTATGAAAGAGGTGTGTTTGTGTTTAGGGGCTGTAGATATAATTATTTTGTAATTGTAATGTTTTATTTTATTTCAACAGTGAGCTACAAAGACAATCAGATTATGAATGAACAGTATGAAATTCATCAACATTGAAATATATTTTATTATCAAAATAATATTGAACTGTTATCAAAACTTAGTGCAACTGTAGAAGCTTGCTCTGTTCTCTCACTGAAATCATAACTTTTACCACGTTTTTTACAGACAATATTGAGAGATAAATAGTAGCAGTTCTCACTAATAGCTTTGCCTTCAATACCTTAAATTAGAAAGCTGACTTGCTTGTTAACATCTAAATGTAACCCTTTGCATGGAAAAAACCCTCAACTTCACTGATGTGTAGGTGATCTAGTATTTAGTATTGTTTAATGGAATGTATATCAGTGTATTAAAGTCAATACTTCATTTATTTAAACCAATATCTTTCTTGATTCTTTGTACAGTATGAAAAAAGAGTATTTGTACCTGTGCTGAAGTTCACTGCTGTGAGGAGTCCAGTTCTGTCTCTCACTCTCTGGTCCATCCTGTCTGCATCACCTGGAAACTTTAAACAAACAGATATATATGTAAAGAACCATGTGTACAAACAATATAACTTATTCTCTTCTGTTGAACATGTTGGATTGTGTATTGTCCGAGTCAGGGTTCTTTTTATTTTACTGTAACTTTGGAAGTTGTGTTACCAATGCTGTTGTGTTACTGTTTATTTGATACCAATTTGGTAATGCAATTAATAAAAACAACAACGTTTGGGTTCGTTCTTCAGATGACTGTGACGTTAACGTGTAAACTCAATAATGAACTCCAGCTCAACCAACCATATTGTAATATCTAAGTAATCATCTTGAAAATATGACATTAATAATTGTAATATACACACATCTTATTGTGAGGTTGATTTCACATACACTACTTCGACGTTAGCTTGTCTACATACTTGAGCATAGCTACCACTCGCTTACACGCAAACCCAAGCCTTAACATTCATTACTCGAATTTCACTTACCGCAAAACGGCATTCATGCACCGTCTGTTTTAACCGCAGAGCGAGTCACAATAGTCCGATATATAAGCATGAAGAACAAACAAACACGGCCGGGATCAAGTTGTGTTCCCTGGATGAACTGACCAGGCACAGTCCCTGTAGCTTCACGGACGGAGCAGCTAGCAGAGAGACAAAAAGCTAACAGCAGCAGTCACCTGACAGAGCTGTCACTCAATGTGACCACGCCCTAATTTATGCAAAAACTTTAAGACCTAATATAAATAAAAGGGTCGCGTTAGAAAACAATTCACTCACAGATTCATAATCACGAAGGTGGAATCTAACTATATACATAATAAAATGTATTGGAGCCAGGGCTAGAAACGTTTTTTTTCTGCTGTGAAAATGGGCATTTTAACATTGGGGTCTATGGAAATTGCTCCTTTCTGCAGTCATCGCCTATCGGCCAATATATGAACTGCAGTTTGTGGCACTTCCGTATTGGCGTCCCGGCTCTTCCCCAGAGTTTGCCGCTTGGTCCAGAGGCAAGAGCTTTGGAGCTATGACGCGGCGTCGCTTACGTCTCTTACGTCGAGGCGTGCAGGAAACCTTACTTTGACCATCCGTTCGCTGTTATTGATCATTGTGGAGAGCAGGCAGACGTTTGGTTTGTTATTATAGCAGCTATCGGATGGAATTAATACATGGGCTGTACAGGTTGTCATGTCCGACTATCACAAGTAGAATCATAATGAAAAATACGCCGGTAAAAAGTGCCTGGAGAAAACGGCTTAGCAAGTAGTCCGTTTAGCTTCGGTTGCTATGCTAACATCACCCATGTTATACCAGAGAAACTTTCATAACAGCGTTGTGATGCCAAACAGTGTCAATTCAGACTGACACACATTCACTTAAGGGGAACTGGGGATATGTATCAGCTGCTTGTGTGACAGTCAGACAGTGAATACTTTAGAGCCGTGTGAGCTAACCTGGAGCTAACGGGAGAATACACTCCCGTTGAAGAGCAGCCAGCACTGTAGCGGTCGGTAAATGCTGAAACACATTAATAAACAATGAACCACGGCACTCTGGAGAAAAGTATAAGGTTGGAGAAGTCGTTATTTAATTTAATCTGGCTTCGTATGATTAAAAGCAACACGATCGTCGACCCGACGCAGTCCCCCCCCCGTTGTTGTGGGAGAAAATCTCTCGGCAGCTCTGGGCAGTGTGAACAGAGCGGGAGCTGAAAAGGGAAACGGGAGCTGAACCAGAAAAGCTCTCGCTAGGAGCTAGAAAGGGAAAAGCGCTGGTGTGAAAGCCGCAACAGAGGCGCATGTTTTTGGGGCAGGAATCTGGAGCCTTCAGTATGAAAGATGCCCCTCTTGTTTTGTTAGATGAAAGGGTTTACATTTAAAGTAAGAATTGTATTTCTTCTTACCATGTGATCCTTTACTATGCTAATGAGGTAATATTTATCAAGTAATAATAATAAGCACAGATAATTATTCACACGTTGTAGGTATTGCTAATGATTGGAAATAATGATTTTATTTGTTTTCTTCACATTTATTGTAAATTCAAAGCAAGTTAATCCAATGGCAGCTCGGCTAAAAATCTGAGGTTTTATTCAAAAGTATAAATAGGCCTGTCGGCATATTATTCAAATTAATAAAAGTATCTTTGCATTTAGATGTGGGATAACATTTGCAGATATGCAAAACATTTACAATAATGTAATGTAGCTAAATGATCAGGCATAGTTTACCACAACCATAGTAAAGGGGAATTAAATGATCAACACTTACTCAGGAGTGAGTAATTGCACCATCATCAAAAAGGCTCCAGCAGTTTAACTGTTAGTGACCTGTAATTGACATTAATAAGCAGGCATGGCAGTGGCAGTTGCACAGCAGCTCATTAGCAAGTGTTGCCTCACAGCAACATCCTGGGTTGGATCTTATCCAGATGCTCCTGCTTCTTCCTTTAGTACATTGACACATGTGTCTGTGGATAAAGGACCTAATCAAACTTGTAAATTAGGAATTGTATTTTATTCTGAGTTTATTGTTCATAGGTAGCCATGTCCATTGGCTTACAATAAACATAATTGATTTAAAGCAGATTAACAGAGAAATGTGGACTAATGCAGCATTAATGTTTTGTCAAAACTAAAACTGAATGGTGAGCCACGAGCCAAAAAGAAAAACACCTGTTGCATTTGTTGTTTTGTTAAAATGCAATATTGGACTAGGTTTCCTTAATTGAATGTCATGTTGTCCCAACGCCACTGTCTTTACTTCCATTTGAATCTTACCTTACCTGCTCCAAACTGACTTCCTGTGCAAAGTGTCCCAATATCTGCCATGCCCAGATGAAAATATGAAAATAAGGATTCTAAATATATAAAAAGCATTTTCTTTACGAAAAGTTAAATAAACAACAAGTTATGTATACTGTATATATAACCATAAGCTTAGACAACAAACACCCACACTTTATAATCTGTATCACAATTAAAATGTATTTGCTGGATTCCTCCCCATACATATTAGCATCTGAATTTATTTTGTTGATTAGCTATAGTGTAGTTAGGCACATGTCAAAGTGTCAGCAGGGGAGGTAATGGGCAAGGGGGCTATCACTAATAGTCATCATTGTATTTAAAGAGACATGCTAAATAATCACAAAATAAAAGATGCAATTAAATTAAAGACTAAAAATGTCTAAAGGGGCGAAGGCCACAGACATAGAGCTGCTGACTAATATCAAAGTAAATTTAGATTAAAATGTAGGCCTTGAGTATATACACTTTTGACTGGATACTCAAGACAGAAAATTATGGTTTGTAGTGTTTGCATTTAGACACTTCCACATCAGTCCTCCAACATATATGCCTGTGTATCTCCTTAAAAGTAGGGTAGGTAAGAATGGAGAAACCAGCTCGAGTGCGCTAGAATTTGAAATTACACAACCGGAAAAAATCTACCCCTTCCTTCAGACTTCCTTACAGAGCCCCTCCTCCAACACACACGAACGCGCACATGACCAATGAGGGCATGAGATAAATTTGTGCACGAGATGGAAGGCTGACAGGCAGGTAGGCCATCCAGTTATTTTAGCCGGGCCAGCTAAAATAATTAGTCGTGCTTTTTACAGCGCTACGGCTTCCACAGATGACATTTTTTTAATGTATTTATTGTCAAAGCATTTCATTTATTCATTGTTATCGGGATGTTAAGAGCATTCCATGGAATATAACAAAAAGTGTTTCTGAAGTGAATTACCAACTCCACCTTTAATCTGCACAAGTGACATTTATACATGTAATCTTTAAGACATCATCACTAATCATAGAAGCTGTGTGGGCTTTTATGGGATTTCTATTATTCCCTTTTCTTTGCCTTAGGATATGCTGCTCTCAATATAGGCTCATGGCCACCAGTAAATCACATGACAGGGATTAACACAATAATTATTTAAACTGCTTTGCTCGATGGCCTGAAAAGGGGTAGTCAGCATGGATCAGGTAGCCTACATAAAAAAAGAGCCTTTATATATAATAACGAAAACAAACTATATTAATTGACATATTGATATAGATATTAGGAGCATCTTCGCACCATATTGTGTTAAATGGGAATGTTGTTGTGAAATGTAGTTATATTTGACAGAAAGCTACAGGCAAACTTAGTTTAAAGTGTTAAATATCTGAATTGAGATGAATATGAGTCCACATTACACATCTGTGTGGAAAGCATTGGAAATGTTGATAATCGTGCAATAACTGAAAATGTTTCTGCAACTTTAAAAGGATTATCTATAGTTTACCTCCAACTTCACTCAACGTGGCGATCTGGCTCTGAGGACAGATTCTGTTGGCAGTGAGAAAAAGCCATCTGCTGCTGTTTAACCCTGCCATTAAAACACAGCACACAAGAGAGAGAAAGTGGAGTGTGAACGTGGAAGTAAGTTTGTGTATGTGGGGGAGATAGATAGGCAGCCTCACGAAAAACATACTGTGCCAGCCAATGCAGGTCATTTGATTATACCTTTTACTATAACACATAATAGGTAACGGTACAGTTTCTAATGGAAAAGTTTCACCAATTTCCAAAGTTTTATAGTTTTAGTCAAAGTTTAAAGAAAAACAGCATCCCGCTTTATCCATATTTCCCCCACCTGGTATTTTAAGACCTTGAAACAGCAGCTCTTCCAGTTAATGATTGGCCAATGCGGAGAAAGTGTGCACTTACACTGTTGACTCTTATCGCTGCTGACCACAAAGCCACTGGAGCAGCATCTCCGAGGCTGACATTAATGGAGAGCACAGAGCTTCATTTAAAGAGACAGGTCCATTTATTTTTTGTCGGCTGTGGAAGAGATAGCACACGGAGACAATGTTCACAATAATGGGTCTTTAAGTCAGAGCAGATTTTGGAGTTTGCTACTGTGTGATTGCAGGGTATATTTATTGGTTAACAGGGCAGAACAAGAAATGGAAATTATGAATAATGAATTGAATAAAGATTATTAGAATATGTGCTTTCTCTTTATATCATATCACTACATTTTTAAACGTAGACTTCGTGTGGAAATGAGATCTACATCCATGTTTCAATGGGTTCAGCCAACAGAACCCTTGATTCACTTATCTGGTTTTCTTAAGTCTCTCGTTGCCTTCCTAGAGACACTATCCTCTGTACAGGCACTTCAGGAGCCAGGCCTGAGTCCCACCAGCTGTACTCTGGGGACAGCACACATGTGGGCCTGTGGTCGATCAGGTATCTGTTCAGGTAGCTCTCCTCGAGGCCCTTGGCCGTTACCCCATTAGCGTGATCCTGCAGAATGAGCAAAGAACAGGCTCGGGCCAGTTTGTGTATCTCAGAAACCAAACCTCCATACAACTCAGAGGTGTAGTAGTAGTCTCCTTCATCGTCGTCCACGCAAGCAGACGACACCTCTTCAGTTTCGTATGGAAACGCGTTTCGTGGCATCCCATAGAGCTCTGGGTGCAAAGTAGCCACCAGGTCTCCGAGGATTTCCTCTCCCACAGGGGCCATGAACTCCTGATCGATGTCAGCACAGAAGATGTAATCAACCTCTCTGCCGATAGGGTTCCTGATGGCTTCAACCAAAAGGGCCATGCGACGACGGGCCAACCTGTCCCATCCAGGCAGCTCTGCGATAGGAACCACCTTCAGCTCTCGGTTAGGTCCCAACCGGATAGGGGGGTCCAGAGAGTTGGGATTGTCCGTGAGAATGTAGTAGGTGACCATCTGACCGGGGAGGAAGTGGGTCTCAGCCGAAGAGAGGAAACGATGCACGAACCGAGCGTACGTTCCCACCACAAGGGCAAGAAGACCTGTACGGATTCCCTGATGTGCAAATTTAGCCCTGCGCTTAGCTGACTTTCGATTGTCTCCCCACACTATAGGATCACCCCATGGTGTCTCCAGAGGAGTTTGTGGCTCTGCTGCCTTGATGACATTCATATCTGTCATTACTTTTCCCCTGTCCATTCCCAATGCATGAAATATAGGATGAGGTGACTTCACACCGACACCGGCTTTACGTCCATAGAGGAGGTCTGAGGGGGAAAACATGGCAAAATGGTAGTCACGGACACTTTATGAGAAGTACAAATTAAGATTCGTAAAGCTTGGAGGTCACAACTGACCTTATTAAACTTATTTAGCAATTTGTATTTTATTGACATTTAGTGACTTTTTTACCCTTTACTATTTACCTTTCACTTTATGGCTGTGTCTGGAATTTGTTCTATATGCCTATACCGTAGTGTTTATACATTCTCTTAAGAAAATCATGGTTTATACTCACATATGATAAGAGACAGGAGAAAACAGTACAGGACCAATTGTATCCTGCTCACTCTAACTGACCCTGTTTGAAAGACAAAAACACACATGGACATTCAATTACAGGAAACTACAATGCTCTTCAAGTAAGCACATTTCACCTACAAATATTCCCTTGAATTCTGTAAGAGACTCTGAGAGACTGAAAGAAGCTTATAGGAATGAAAAGAATGTGTTGAAACGCAAATATCCCATCATGTGCTATATAATACTTCTATGATAGACTGTATGTCATTTCTAAGGCTGTACAAGATATAACTTGCTTGATCTTTATCTGTGATGCTGAGCCAACAGAAATATACACAGGGTAGAACAAAAGTTACACGTTGCATGGGCTTAAATTTACGTCGAAGCACATGGGATTGACTATGTCTATTTTTATATTTTCCCCATGCAGTCCCTTCATTGGACAAATGCACACAAGTTATTTTATTTAAAAAAGACTTATGTTGCTTTCCTGGACATATTTTCAGGATCAAATTACAAAAGGGAAAACACATAGCTCCAGCTTTAAACGGTCTTTGCACTTCAATCTGTCAGGCTCAATCCAAATCTGCTAGTCTTTAAAGCAAGTTAATTTGAACTGAGCGTGTTCTAGTACAGCAGTCACAAATTAATAACGAATGAGGGTAAAACATCCAGATCTGACACGAGCAGAAGAGGTGGAGCAGTGGCTGAGGTACTGACCTGCAGGCGTCTTGCAGAATGGGAACAGCGCCATATTGTGACCTGCTGGTGGATAAACACACAAACTTTTGTCTGAGGCCACTATTTTTGACAAAACAAATCTGTGCTTTTTCTCTCTCTCTGTCTCTCTTCTGCTCACTCTGCCTCTTCCTTGAAATGTGCAGTTTTTCCACCAATGGTTATTTTCTTACCTTGCTCCCTCTTTCTAACTCTTGACGTTGTTGTTTTAATAATATTTTCCACTCCCTTTTGTTCACATATCGTCTTTATCGCCCCCCTCCTCACTTTCTTCCTCAGGCTTTTGCAGTATTCTGTTTTGGAGAAAAACCAAAGCTACCAGATGTGTGGGGAATCTGGGCTAATGGGAGGGGCTAAGGAGTGGAGGATAAAACATGGTAGAAATAAATATACAGTCAAGGGGAAAGAGGATTTTCACATTCTTTCCTCCTACTCATGTATATGACAATAAACCTTAGACAATGGGTGGTAACTAAAAAATCTCTTGGGCGAACCTCAGTAAATGCTCGGCTAAAAGCCATTATCCTAAAAAACAATCATACTTTACACATCTCAAGGGTTTATTCCATAGACTGTATATATAAAGGTTTATTCATGCTGTAAAGATAAGAGTCAGTATCAAGTAGCAACCAGGCAGCAGTTCACGTCAGCAGGGTGTTGTATTATTTCTGTCCACAAGGTGGAGGCACTCAATAGGAAATGCAAAGTTGAAACATGGGCTAATTACTAGAGATAATGTCTATTATAAAGCAACACATTTTTATTAGACATTATAATTAAAAGGATATTAAAAGACAATAAACTAATGTTTCATTGTTCCTGAACTCATGTGACCAGTTAGATAGATTTCTGTTTGAGTGACGGTGCTGTGTTTATTGTTTAACAGATCTTGTGTCTCAATAATGTTGGGCCAGTTGACAAAATATTAAATTCTACCGTTTTTCAAGCTTAGGGGTAATACACAAGTGTCTTTAGCCATGCTAACATCAGCATGAACACGCTCACGATAACAATGCTAGCATTCTGATATTTTACAGGAACTGTTGTAACATTCACTCACCATCTTAGTTTAGTGTGTTAGCATGCTAACATCTGTTAGCCCTGAACAATAGGCTAGGTATTTTTGAAGGTTCACAGTAGTCTACTAAAGGGGATGCCAACGAAAAACTTGAAAATCAGGCTCATTTAACAAAGCTAGACATATCCCCAAAGTGCTGTGTTACCGAGGCGCCAACTACTATAGCTTAAGGCACGAAAACATGGTTAGGATGAGGAAAACATCATGGTTTGGGATGAAACAGGTAGCCTACATTGATCGATCAATCAATCAATCAATCAATGTTTATTTATATAGCCCGTTTCACAGTTTGTACAGAATATTAATATGACAATACGAGCACATATCTCAGGGGGCCTGTGTTGGTGGTCTAGTGAGATAGACCCTTCTCGAACGGATGGTACAGATGGGAATGTGGGTATTTGGTCATATACCAAAGTCGGGCAACATATGGGCCTGATGTTGGTGCTAGAGGAAAAGTTGAAGCTTAAAAACAGACAGAAAATGAAAGTCTGCTGTTTCTTGACAATGTATTCACAGTATACTGCACTATGTATTGTTTATTGAATTGGCTCTGTAGTCCAACAGAACATAACATTTATGTGTAATTCAAATTAATTGAAATGTTCACAAAGTCGTAGGCCATGTTCTCATTTATCTGCCATAGGTTATTACTTTACTCACAGCTGCTATCAACTCCAACAATGAATGTGTGTCTGCTGACAGAGACTCACACAGACTCAAGAGATCACTTTGCAGTTTATTACGATAAATCTCATTATTTTTTATGTATATCCATACAGCAATTGCAACATATATTGGTTTGTGTAAACAACATTGGACTGAAGCACCAGTCAAAACATAAAGAAAACAGCATGGGGGAAACACTAAACAATGGATAAATTACAGGATGCGGGTGAAGCGTTGTCCCAAACATCGTTTTCCCTGTCACCTTGTTTGAAGAGAAGCGGGGCAGGCAGTTCCAGATTGGAGGATAGAGACTCTGCATAGAGAGGATTCATAACTATTCATGTCATAAACACAAAGACGAGCATCTGTAAATTGAACTACACCACGGAGAGATGAGAATGCACATTTATTACAGCATATATTAAGGCGTTCAAGATGAGTGTGCTTGAAAGTTGTAGGTGCAGAGCCCCTATTCTACAGAGTGTCTGGTCCGTTTCTGAAGAGTGTTAGTAGGTCCATTAATGTCAAATAAATATCACCAGAAAAGTAATATTAATAAAATTATCTCCCAATGTTTTACGGAACGGTTTATAGTTGGCATATTGCAGACGATTATCAAACAACATGCCATTTGCACATTCACTGAAATACACACAGAAGCTTTTTGACAGCAAACATTTTGGCAGTGTTTGTTTGTAGTTTTGATTACTACACTGACTTGTGTAGTTGTTGAGTGAACAACGTCACAAGAAAATAAACTATTCAAGGGTTTGATACTGTATATTATATATTATTTCCATAAACTATGAGGATCCTTAGAAAAATATTTCATTTAATGCAGCATTGTACTTATACAAAATAAATTAACGGCACAAGAAGAAGATTCATCTGTTTCTCATTTTGAATGTATCGCTACTCCAACTTTCATGTGTCGAATTATCCCCAAAGTTGGTTAGGTTTTCTCTTTTTAATAGTGTTTTGGTACAAGTTTATTGTCTCATCTGCATACTTTCATAATATATAATCTTTCACACTATTTTTATGAATTATTTTATCATTTTACACTTAGTAGAGTCTAGATTATGTTTTTGTTGTTGACACCCTGAGAATAAATCTTTGCCAAATAATTTTAAACTTTTGAGATTTCAAATCAAATATTTTGAATTTTGAATGTACGTTAACTCTAATTTCATGACTTCATGCCAGTTGAATTTGTTCCCATAAAGTGATTAAAATGAGTACGTTTCACATAATAGTGTGAAAAAACACAAAAATAAATCTATGTAGGACATATAAGTATGAAAAGAAACAAAGGGTATTTGAAAGGGAAAATTGAGATGTCAATTGTTTTCAAAACCAAATTACAATCATTGTCTTTGTATAATATATAGATACTAATACAAAACTTATGTTCTAAAAGTGGCATGCTTGAGCAGGCATTGAAGAGGAGAAAGACGAGGCCTACCCCTCCTTTCTTATGATTTAAATACTTTCACAACATGGAGATACAGTTTGTAGCAGAGAGGCCTGAAACAAGTCTGTTTTGAATTAACTGTGGACTTAACATTTTGCATGAAAGAATAAATTAATGAATGTTGATTGGCAAATGAAAAGTAAAAAGATCAGATATGCAGCATTTTGGGGGAAAACAGAACTAAGTGGAAGAGTTTTATTTTCTGTGTTTCTTCTCTTCATCGCCTCCTCCATTGCCCGATCTCATCCTTCTGCTTCCTTCTTCCCCTCCTCCTGTCCCTTTTCTCCTTTCTGATCGTATATCTTTCTTCGCCTCTTCCTTCTTCCCCTCCTCCCTTCTCCTTCACTTGCGATTATTATCTATCATCTCAAACAGGGCCTGCAGCAGTCGGTCGTCTCTGTGCCTGTACGGCTTGTTGCTGTAGAAGCCATCAGAGTAGTCGCTGTAGACACTGTCCTCGGGGCCTCGGTACTTGTTGATCAGGTCCAGAGCCTGGTACAGCGTCTGAGGGGGGAGCCGTGTTGCGGGAGGAGAGAGGCTCCGGCTCGGCTCCTTCTTCCTCCAGGCGGGTGCAGACTGGGGCTGCTGCAGGGCGGGGGTCTGCCTGTTGAAGGCCGTCTGAAGGAGGCGCAGTAGGGCCAGGGAGGGGGAGTAAGGTGGGTTTGAGGGATTTCTGGGCTCCTTTTCAGTTTCAGCTCGTGCAGTCTCTGGAGTCTTTGGAGGTGGAGGTATCTTTGTGGGATCCTCCTGTGTCACCGGACAGACAGAGAGGAGGCATGTTATTGATGTGTGACGCAAATTGTTAGATAACAAAAGATCCACAGTGTGAGCATCTAAAGATAGACGCTATAATTCTGTTCTATTCTGTTTATTTTGGTATCACATTACAGTTTGGTAATGTATTAAAAAATGCAGTCCCAAAGGCCCTGGACAGTGACCTATTTTTAAAGTGAGTGGGCCTTGCACAATAAATCTAAAATGATCCGACTAAAATGACTGTGCAAACATTCTGTTGATGCACATTACTGCAACTTCTTTCTCCAAATATGGTTGTAAACAGTCTCAAATGTGAACTGAAAGTCAACACTTGGTCATGTTTTCATTTCAAATGACAATCAATGGCTAGAAACATTACATAGAATCTCGCAATGCACACTATAGTAACACCACATTGTATTTGTTTCAGTTTTCCGGCCTATTGCTATGTCCTTGAATAGATTTAAAAAGGACAATATTGAGATTTGAATGACCTTTTTTTTTACACATCATAACATTATTTGCATGTGTGGGAGGGACATTGGGTAGCTTACATTTTACGTTACCGATAAGACCAAAAAAAGGTTAATGTCATGTCTTTGCAATATAAAACAATTATCCGCCTACATAGAGACCCTTCCTTATGAATAATGTCTGTCAATTGTACTTGATATTCTTGTTATGTGCTACTGTGGAGGCTTTGTTGCACCTGTAAACACACCCAACAGTGATGTCTGAGAGTACTACACACCATGTAGTACACTTGACATGACTCCAGTGAGTGATTAAACCTCTTTGGGTCAGCATAAATGACATTTTCGGGCATTCAAATTGATCCAGACCCTTTGATTGAAACTGAGATACCTTAGCAACTAATACACTGTCATTAACCTTTGTGCACATTCACATATTTCTACAGCTATTGCAACCACTTGGTGAACCTAGCCTTTCCTCAAGCGCCATCAACAGGTACATATTTCAATGTGTTGCATACTGTGGTTTATGAAATAACTAACAAATGCCCCTGTGCTTTTTGTATCATGCTCATTAACCCTTAGCCGTGTTGCGTTGCATCTACCTCCAACATGTCGTCCATATGTTCCACACCACGGCGGTCGTTCTGCACGGCGTTGTAGGGAACATACACTCTAGCTTTCTTCATGTGCTCTGGCTTCTCCGACGTCCCATGAAGAATTAGCTTCCAGCTCATAATCCGACCCTCGTTCTGCATACGGCCCGACTGTGAGGGGGAAACAATGTGGGTCAGATCTCAGGAAGCTACACAAACCAGCCAAATATGCTCTTTCATTTAAAGAAGTGTGTATAACTTACTGTATCTGTGATCTTCAGGGTCCATGTACCAGTAGGGTCTTCTCCCCATGTATGCACAGACATGAAGTCCCAGTTTCTGAAGCCATTAGCGGAGGTGTCCCTCTCTCGCTCAGCCAGCAGCACTGTACTGGTTCCTGAGAGGAAACACAGAGGGTTAGATCAAATGACAACTTTATTATTTTCCTCAAGTGTGTGTGTGTATCTGTGTGTGTGTATCTGTGTGTGTGAGTCTCTTACCGACTGGGGAGGTGAGTGTTATGTGTAGGTCCCCTCTCCTGGTGTATTCGATGCTGGCCTCCACCTGCACGTGCTCCAGGGATTGGACTGCGTTCTCCTGCCCGGCACAGGCTTTGGTTGGCACCTCTATTGTGATCTCCCCCGCTGCTTTTATCTCCCTGAGGGATGCATTCAAATAGCAGGGAGTGAGACACACAAACAGCAGCAACACCTGACATGTTCTCATGGCTGTTCAGCAACAGCAACAGGGTGGGAAAATCACCTATACAGTACTGCACAAATGTCCTATTTTTGCCTGATAGTTCAATGACAGTCCCACATTTAGGAAATATTTAGCACATCACAGGCGTGTTTAATAAGCAAAGACCGATTTTGGTCATTCATTTGCAAAAAAACGTTAATCCCAAACTCTCCCAGACATGAATGACAGGATTTCCGTATCAATCTGGCCTAAAGCTGGAGGGGGTTAGTCCACTAAGCACTGGCGGAAGCCAGCCAAATCCTCGGGATTAGACAGGGATGTAGTAAGGTAATGGGGAAACTGGGTGTCGTGGTATGGAACATCATAATCCAAATTGCAAAATGAACACTTGAAGGAAAATAACCGTAGCTGTCTGCTGGTGAAATTAAAAGGATGTTTCAAGGACAAAGAATGGCTGCTAAGCGTTAGACCTGGACACTCTTGGGCCTGTAATCCATGAAGGAATGCAAACAGAACATCTGTTGAGACAACAGGAGGGGGGATTATTTCCCCGGACTTTCTGTCCTTGGGTGGCAGCTTTTGGATTAAGATATGTAATCCTATTGTTAAACAATTAGCATTATGAGTATTCAGAGTTGATGATTGACATCAAATGTAAATGTTCTCAACAGTGATCATGAGGAATGATGATTGCATTGGGTCACAAACATAACCCTGAATGTGCATCTGATGATAAACCCATATGATGATGTACAAGATTAACCAATGGTGGCAATTACTCCTGGGCCATAGGCAAAGCAAAACCAATCGAAATAGATGAGAGCAGCTGACACATACCTGGGCTGGAAAGAGTCATCCCTGACGATGCATTGCTTCTTTTCAGGCGCATGCTTCCACACCGCCGGGTCAGCGAGGTCCACCAGGGCTTTGGCGTTGAGAAGGCCGAAGCCGAAGCGGCTGTTGACCATCAGCCCCGCTCCGTTCTTCTTCCAGCCCGGGTTATTGGCCAGAGGATCGAACTCTGAGGTCCAGACCACAATGTGCTGCAGGTCTCTCCAGGTAAGTTCTGGACTGAAGGAGGGAAGATAGACACGGAGGGAGACCAGTGAGTATTTACTGATATTTATATAGAGTGTAAGATTGCATTTTATTTGCAGTGGTGCATACTTTTGTTCCAGTGCCAGAGCAAATATTCCAGCAGCCAGCGGGGCAGAGGCCGACGTTCCCGTGTGAGTCTGAGTGCACTCATTGTGCAGATCAGCACTAATCTGAAAGCAAACATACAACATTAAAAATAAATTAATGCATTAAATGGATTGTTTGAAGTGGGCTTGTTTGAGGTACTTATCCACAGTCACTGTATTATCTATAGTACAGTACATGGCAGTTGGCACGCCCCCAGTCTGTAAAAATAGATTAGAGCACCGGCACAGAAGCAAAGCAATGCACAGCTGTGGGCATCTTTTAGCCACCTAAAATATATCAAAGCAGTTTAAGTGAATGCTATATTTAGATTTTTTTACAGCATTACCAGACAGCCTTTTTCAACATCAGAAGGAATCCCTCATCTTGCTTTCTCGATAGCCAACATACTCCATTTCATTTGTTTTATTTAATTACAATAGGAAATTGCTGATGTCTTTAGATTGTTTTGTGTTATTGTGTGACTTCACTAAAGTCATAATATAACTGGAAAAAATGAACTAATCGAGACAGCAGTAACTCCCATGTTCTCAAGAAAGAATTACATTTTTTTTTAATTAATCCTTAAATCTGACCTTCTTCATGAGGGCCTTTTTGAGGTGGATTAAAAAAAAGTGTTTAATGCCCCCTGCTACAGCAATACATGGCTTTGCTTCTGTGTCATGACTTCTGTCTGTTTCTCCAAACTGGACCATCATCTACTGCCTGCATTTTGATAAAAACATGCAAACTGTCTAATGTGACCAAACATTGCTTGACATAAAATGTAAACATCATAAATTGACATAACAGCCGTATTTCTTACAATCCTCTGGTCGGTGTAGTCTCCACTGCTGTAGGCTGTAGCCAGGGTGGAGGAGCACTTCTCTGCGTACCAGGGGGACAGACCCTGCTGGGAGGCACTGCTGATTGAGATGGTGTAGATGCTGTCTGTGTAACCATCACAGTCACAGTTATCGCCCTGGCGCCCACCATTACCTGAAGCCCAAACAAAGATAGAGCCTTTCCCACCACGGCCCTGCAGGAGACGAAGAGAGAGAGAGAGAGAGATGAAGTCGACAAGAAACACTACAAATCTTACTGCATATACTAAGTTCTACTACAGCATTAAAAATAAAGGGTCCAAGGTAAATCTTTACGGATTAAATTGTCCTTATTGATTCTGTTCAATCTGATTCACGTCACTGCAGCAGATAACAGCTCCCATTAGGAGCCTCAGTCTGAGATCACACCAGCCGAGTGTGAATGTAATCATTTACCTTCTGGATACCGTATTCAAATGCCTTCTGTGCCAGGCGGCCAGGGCCCTCCACGGTCTTGCCATCATCGTTTGGTCCCCAGCTGGCACTGTAGATGTCCACATGGTTTGGATTGAACCCAATAGAGCTGGCCTCGATGGCATCTGTCACGATCCCATCCAGCATACGGATCCCTGAGCAGAGAAGCAGGAATGTCAGTGACCAGTTATCCTTTTGGTCACTACTGTAATTACATACTGGGATCGAAACTCATGGACATATCCTCAATTTATGGCCACATTTTAAGGAGGTGGCTTATTTACTCAATATCATGAGAAGGAGAAAACACCCTTAATTTGAATGTTATGATAATAATGGTTTTGTTTTAGGGTAGCAAGATTTGTGATTCATAATTTAAGATGCACTAAGGACCAGCTTGCTACCCTTCGTGGTTGCAGCCCTAAGTATTGTATGGTTAGATAGGAGCCAATCAATTTTGGAAAGTGACTCTCTGCCACACACAGAAATTGATATGAATGACAATTAATGAGCTGTATATACAAATACATATTTACAACAACAACAAAAATAAACTCTTACCTCCAACCTTGGAGTTGTATGCCACTCCAACACCACATTTATTGTTGTCTGCCTGCATAGCAATCTCACCAGCGCACCTGGTTCCATGTCTGAGGAAAAAAAACATATTAATTAAAGCATTCACTTACGTTTCCATCACTAATCCTGCACCAATTCCCTCAATCCTTTAAGTAAAAATGGTGAGTTTGTAGAAAACAGTATACACACTTATCATGTGCTCCGTTTTTCAATAATTTAAATGTTTTCCCAGAGGTTATTTTTAACTGTTTGACCTACCCTTATTATTCTATAGAATGCTAAACTCATCACAAAAGGCCACTTTAACTCCAGATGACATAGCTTCTCTGGTAAAAGGGCATGTTTAGAGCAGAACATATTGACTGTAATGACGGGGTCATTGAGATTCTCTATGATTCAGGTTGTCTGGCGCTGCAGTTATTCAGCTGGAAGAATAGCCTTTGAATGGTTGAGTGTAGTGCTGATAACAAGAGAGCACAGGGCTGTTGGCCGAGAGGACCGTGTGTGTGTGTGTGTGTGTGTGTGTGTGTGTGTGTGTGTGTGTGTGTGTGTGTGTGTGTGTGTGTGTGTGTGTGTGTGTGTGTGTGTGTGTGTGTGTGTGTGTGTGTGTGTGTGTGTGTGTGTGTGTGTGTGTGTGTGTCAGCAGGCAGAGGGTGAGTCATTCACTTCAGGTATGGTGAGATAATTATAAGAGCAGAAAAGGAAAGGGCAGTAAGCTTCCAGTCCTTAACTTCTGCCATATTCTATTAATTTGTTCCACTTAGTGTTTTTTTTTTTACAATTTCATGGTAATGACCAAGCCTCAATAAGACCAGGTAATGTCCCAGTATCATATCTCAACTGTTAACTCACTTGTTTTCATTGGTGGAGTCGTATCTGGGGAAAGGGTCGGGGTCGTTGTCGTTGAAGTCATAGCTAGCTGCTGCGTCCTTTAAAAACAACACACAGAAAACCATCAGGGGTGACGTCAGTGTACGTCAGTGAGAAAGGCTTCAACCGCACATCTGTCAGGGCCAATCTGCTGTCATGGAGACCATTATGATAGGTGACAAGGGAAGAGATGGATGTTTCTATAATGAAATCCTCACACGAAGGGGCACTTATCTACAACAATCTTTCAAACCATTCAAATTGCTTATAAATGCAGTTTTTGCCTCAGGCTCGTGTCCTACTTCGACAAACCGTGGGAGTATTCATAATATTTGGTGTGACAAGTCATATCTCTTTTGTCATTCCCATCATTTCCTTGCACTATAAAATGTGATTAAATGTGCCAATTAGGTTTTAATTAAAGAGGAAATCAGAATGATTGCATCCGTAAGTTTCTGGTTCACAGTCAAACTCAGTATCCAATTTAAATTAGATGGTTGTGACTGTCAGAATTACTGCTATTAAGTTATGCAAATGCACGCCTTTGATTATTAAGGACGAGCGTCGCGGTTGATTGAGCTTCTTTGATTAATCAGCTTTAACTTAATTACAGTGGGAGTTGTTTCCATCAGCCTTGTGGCCCCCCTTAAATCCCTTTTTGTCCCTCTTCCGTTCATTTGCACAGGCGAGGCAGCAGCTTTTAACAGCACCAGCGATGTTTGAAACTAAACCACAGATGGGGCTTTTTAAGGCTTTTAGCGTTCCTGTCAACAGGAGAAACCATCCCGAAATCAAACCTCAAGTCATTCTCGCTTTCATTGGCTTGTAATTATGTACATATGCTGCTTTCAGGCCATAAAAAAAACTAAAAACGTTCATACTCCCTAAAAAGGATGAATTCACAGCTAAATGTGCATCAAAAAATGCAAAATGCATCCAGGAATTAAAAGGCATAAACCCCCTTTGAAGGAGGACATTATCACACAGAAGATCTATTACATGTATTTATGAATCGCCATGTAAGGTGTCACCAGCAGCGTTGCTATGGTAACGGCAGACCCAGACGACGGAGGCTGTCTCCATGGAAACGGTGTCTTACGTAGTTGGAGTAGATGTCTGTGTGGTTCCACTCCAGGCCGTCATCCAGCACGGTGATGACCACTCCTTTTCCCGTGATGCCTTTCTGCCACACGGGGATCACATGCAGGTCGAGCTTCGGCAGCGAGGAGGAAGTGCGTGTGTCTTGCTGGAAGATAAAAGATTTCGAAAGATGAATCCTCTGTAATTCAATCTAAAGTGTATACAGATTACCTCAGAGTGCTTCATCTAAAAAGGCACTTTAAATATTCTTATATCCGTTTGAAAGGTCAGCGGCAGTCCTCCAGTTACCTCAGTTCCTCCACTGACCTTTACCTAAATTCATCACTTCATTGTTGAGTCCTACTTGTAGGCAGATTGCTGCCAGAGGGTCGTAAAAATATACTGGCTTTTGCTCTAAGTCATTTAACCCGCAAGATACCAAGATGCAGTTCAAGCCACACCATTTCCTGGCTTTCCTGGAGGGGCCTGTTTAAAATGGAAAATCAACAAGGAGAGGGAGAGTGAAAAGGGAAGAGGCCTGCCGGCTTTGGGAAGAGTGTGTGGAAAAAGCTAAGACTAAAAAAAGACTTCTGCTCTCTGCGCATTATGCACAGACACTGCAGAGCGCCACACCAATACGTGACTCATCCCTGTGATGTATCTCCTCCCCCCCCCCCCCCCCCCCCCCCCCCCCCCAACCACTTTATCGTCCTGTCTTCAACCCATCGTCTCACTATAGCTTCCTGTCAGTACCTCTCTTTCTCTTTGGACAGTATCACTTCCAGCTGATTAAAACCTCAATGTAAATACACAACAGATGTCACACTTTAACACAATGTGTTTCAATGGCTATTTTCTGGAGAGGATTTGACTCCCGACCAGCACAGATCTGCATCTCACTGTTTTGCTGTGACACCAAATGACTCACTTGTTGATGCTGGCAGTGGTACAGGGATAGATCTTTTAATGTTACACAGAAAAAACACATACACATATACACACATATACACACATATACACACATATACACACACACACACACACACACGCACAGCAGCTTATGCAAGTCTCTCTGCAGCTTTCGCACACATACAAGCACAATGAGATCCCCTGATGCACTATTAACACAGACTGACACCGGCAGAGCCACACACACACTTTCTCTCTTACGCACGCACGCACGCACACACACACACACACACACACACACACACACACACACACACACACACACACACACACACACACACACACACACACACACACACACACACACACACACACACACACTGCAATCCAAGCAAGAGGAATTTCTAGCTACAAGTATGAGTCACTCCATGATTAAATTGTCAGGCTCCCACTCCTGATGGATAACGACACACATCCTCTGCCCCCGTCACACAGCTCCACCCTCACTCTCATCATCACATCTGCCAGCGTCACTACCTTCTCACCTCCACCCCTTTCCCTCATTATCATTTGTGAAATACTAGAGGTAGGAAAATAACATCACAGCATCATGTCAGATATAAAAAACCTTTTATCTCTTTCCAGTGTTTTTCTAAATGGCTTTGTCCTTCCTGGTCAGACGAGGAGGATGAATCACGATGCTTTATTTGAACTGTAACGTGGCTCTAGCAGTGACACAGGCTGATGTGGAAATGCACTAAACGGCACTTTAAGGCCAATTCCATTAGTGTCATCATCCCTCATAGGCAAAAATGATTCATCTCAATTTGTTTTCTTATTCCCCGCAAGCCTGTGACTCATGTTCGGTTAGCACAGGTGCGGAGAAGTGGAAGATGATAGAATATGTGAAGCTCTCTCTTTCCAGAAAGCACACACAAACACAAACAGTGATGCAACACACATTAACATCCTCACTAAATCTAAATTATTTGTAGTAGTACATGATGATGTATGGTTCTTAAAGCTTTCTTAAATAGCACCTTGGGATTGCTGTTAGCAATGAAAGGTGCTTTATAAATTGAATTTATTATTATTATTATTATTAAATGTGTTTTACTGCTGTATTTATATTACATATGAGTTTTGCATTGAGTTTTTTTGTTTTAAATGGCTTGGCTTAAAAAAAACAAGGTTGCTGGTCCTTGTTGTATGTTAGTTTTTTAACACACCTTTTTTCCCCGTTTTATGTTATTGTTAATTAAATAGCTTTTAATCCACTATTTTCACTGTTTTATGACAAGCAATGAATCAAATCATTATTCATTTAATCTAAATATAATTCTGCACATAGATGAATTATGAATCTAATTGTTAGTTGCAGCCCCAATGGAGAAACTTGACTTTAATAAATATAAACAGCATCCAAATATATGTCGTAGTGCTGAGGTCAACAGCTCAGTCACCAAGTTTATTTTAGGCTTATGGATCAAAACCATTAAAGATATCATTCACAGTGGAAAACACAAGAGGTCAGGATGAAGTGGAAGTGTTAGTAAAGGATCATCAAGGATCTGGAAGATGATGCAGAGCTCTGAAAATCTACAGATGACTGCTACCACTTAGCCTCTAAGGTCTGATAACCCTCTCATTCAGGGTGCATCGGGACCGAATGCCAGGCTCTGCTCCATCCTGCAGGATTACCGGCTCTCCCTCCTCTCCTCTCTCACCAATTAAGCAAATGGCTCTTTTGGCTTGGACTGCTTGATGGCATGCTATTGTTTCATTGTTTTGTTGCTTTTCTGCACACATGCAAGCATTCAATTGCTGACTGAAATGCACATACAGTGCTCACACACACATACTGCACACACACACTCTCTCTGCTGTGTGGAGCTGTCCAGCTCTCTCAGCGCTTCAGGGAGTCTCAGGGGAGAACAGACCAGCTGCATACAGGCAGAAGGCTCAACCAGACACAACAGAAGTACAACACATGAACAGAAGGCTGGATATTAAACTAAATCTGTTTTTTTGCAGATCTGGAAAGTTTTCAACTATTTTTTAAATGGGAACCAACTTCTTTAAACTAGCAAGAACCATGTCAATTATTGAACCACTTGTTGAATTTCCAGTCCAGCTTTGTGTTGTGTGACATTCAAGCGTTATTGGAGACTCACCAGGTACCACTGCTGGTTCCACATAGGATCATCGAACAGCTTGTCCACCGGGCAGTCCCTGCACCCCCCGAGGGACGCTCTCTTGTTGCGACGTTTCTCGTACTGCTGCTCTGCCCAAAGCACCTACACACAGACAACAGGTGACACTTTACTTTAAAGGGGACAAAATATGATCATTTTCAGAATCATACATACGTTTGGTTTCTACTAGAACATATTAACATGTTAAATGTTTAAAAGAAAACCAACATTTTTCTCATTCTGTCTGTTTTAATGAGGTTGTATTCCCCTTCTTAGGTTTCATTAATTTAGCACCTTCTAGAAACAGCCCAGTCTTCTCTGATTGGCTAGTGAGAACAATTTGACGCACCTTGGGAAAGGTAATTCTTAAGTTTAGCTACTGGTGGATCGTATATTGAAATTAGCCTGCATGTGACATAAGAAGGGGAGCCAAATCTGAGTGAATCCTATATTTTACAACAGGAACCCCAAGAACGGAATAATTGAACCTAATTTAAAATGTGTGGGCTGGTTGGCACTGGATATACCCAAATGTATGTGGACACTGAAAGAGTAATTTTTTCTATACAATGTCCCCTTTAATATTTTTTAAATGTAACAACATGTTGTGCACAGACTAAGCATGGACGAGCTGATAGCTAAAAGTGGCCACTCACCCGATCATCCTCCGACAGCCGCCTGGTGATGTGGTTGGCACTTCGTTTCATTCTGCTAGGATGATTGCGATGTTTGAACAAGAAATGGTCTTCCAGGGCCCCGATCTGCGGAGACAAAGGCATGAGACAGTCTGAATATTTGATAGAAAATGACATAAAACCGGCCATCTGGTCTAGGAAGCCAGTCGCACAGGTCAGAAAACATTATTATCTCTCACAAAGAAATCTTCAGGTATTCAGTTGTGGGGGAGCAACAAAGAATAATCAGACAGAAAGAATCAGTTCACCACAGGGTTACATCTTTATAAATCTCCTTATTTTTAAATATGTGAGGCATTTTGATTGGTGCCAGCTATAGTTGGATATTACATTTCTAGTAGAGAGATTATTTTTAGGTTTTATTTGAATTCAATCCCATTGGAAACAAGCAAAGCACAATGTAGAAGGTCTACAAGTGTGTATGCTTTTCTGAGGATGCAGGCTTGATGTGCATCTTTGGCAAACGTAGAGCAATTATTATCAACATTATTGCCATGGACGAACAGAAAAATATCTTGAATATGCACACCATGTTTTTTTTAAATAATGTTTAAATATACTTTTACGCTGATGTTTTAATCTTGACTGAAGTGTCTTTTAAACAAATGTGGGATAATATAGAAACAAATATATGTGTGATTATGTTACTGACAGAGCAGAAGAAGGAGAAGATTGCAGTTTGCCTCAGTATCCATGACAGCTGAGTTAATAATTGACCGCTGCGGCTCAGAGCTACAGGTTTCACATTAATGTCCTTATATGATTCCCTATAATGTGTTTGTATAAGGAAAAGCGGCATGAGTCAGTCTCAAATGACTGGAAACACAGGGATGTAAAGAACAGGGGAAATTAGAAACCAGAGTTATCAGGAGTGTGTAAACAGTGAGTCATGGATTGATTGAATCCTCATGCTTTCATCATCAGTGTGCTTTTGGGCTATAATAAAAGCAATGAGTTTCCATTATAATGGCCTTTTCAAACACAGCAGAATAATTGATGGAGCTATTGCCTGCTGATTTTGTAGGCTGCAGACTTTATTAACATTTAATGATTCATTTTGCTTTTATGGTTTCTGTTGTTAAATCAGACGTTTGATATTAAAATGACACATTATTCAGGTCCCAGTTTGCTTTGACAACACGCCAAATCACTGATATTCATTCAAACTGCCAGCACACACCTTCATTTCAGGATAATTTAAAGCTTTTTCAGTGAAAGTGTAGCCGGTGCTGCTCCGGGACATTTTTTGTGCCTACCTGTCGGACCAGTTTGTAGTCCAGCTCTTTGGCGATCGACTCTGCAGCGTCCAGTCCTCCGGGGATCTCCACTGCCCACTCGTTCAGGTACTGCCTGTCCGCGAGAGAGGACTCCAGAGACCGGGGAACCACGGAGAAGAGTACGGCGAAAACACAACACATCATCGCTGGACGACATCTCACTTCCATCTCAGAGGAAATTCAACCAGATAAAGAAAATAATATATATGTACAAACAGCTTCCCAAGAAAGCAGCCAAACCCGAGATCTTTTGTCAAGATAATAAAGAGATCTCCTTGTTTTTTTCCCCTTCTTGTTCCTTAAGAAACCGCTTGTTGAGAGATGGATGGAAGGATGATCTGCGCGTTATTGGTCCGCCAAGGAGAGGAAACACTGAGGATAGGGAGGGCTGGTCTGTGCGTGTGTGTGGTCTCGATGGGGGGTGTACACACGTCAAATTACGGCTGCTCTGACGTCAGTTTGGCGTCTACCTTTGCTAAGATGTGAGTTAGAGTCCCTGGGCGAGAAACTCTGAACGGGAGGAGGAGGAGGAGGAGATCCGACTAAAAATAACCCTCTGTTTGTCCCTGAAGAAGAGGGGAGAGGAGGAGGAGACATTGGGAAGAAACAATAATAAAATGAATCCTGCTTACTTATGATGTTTATCATATGGCTGCAGCGTCCATTCACTGTGAGAGACAATCTGTGTGATAAATCAAAGCACGACTGATGTTTGTGCCACAGTTTATCGATTAGAGGAATCGGTCTCAATCAATAATACATGACGGCCAGAGAGAGGGGGGGGAGAGAGTCAGCACCGCGGACAGCTCCTCTCCCACGCCACAGATCCTCATCAGGTGATGAAACTGAAACCAAACATGGGATGCGAGGGGAAATGGGTCCCAGGAAACTGCACAAAACAGAATAATAATTAAAGAAAATTGCAATTACGTATTTCATTTGCAGGCAAGCAGTATTATATTCATATTGTGTACTAAAATAAGAATATTATTGGATATAATGTATGAAAAAAACATAAAAAAACATGTTTTCAATTTCCTTTTAATTCCACAAATATTAGACTTAGAACAAGTGGATTACACCTGTGAAGTCAAACTGTAGTTTACAGAATCAAATTAACATAAAACATGTGGTTTATTTTACTCTTAGGCATCTAATAGCTCACTCTTTATTTTAGATATTTTTTATAATATCTAAGGTAAAGGCATAGGGATTGGTTAATGTTCACTTGTAAATTAGTAAACCTAATGTTATAAAAGAAGATATCTAAAAAAGCTGTAAAGCTGTTATCAAACGATAGGCATTTTCTGTGTGGAGAAGCAATACTGAATACTAAGTAGGAATACTAGAGGGCAAAAATCCCAAATTCATTCAAATACAGAGAAAGTAAAAAACCCTAGTTGCTAAGAAAGACAACAAGCTTACTTTGACTAAAGCAAACATAATATATTTTCTGTCTTTCATTCAAAAAAACAATCTGCATTTAAAGTGGACCTATCATGCTATATTTGAATAATATAGTATAGGACCATACCTATATAAGGCATATTTATACTTTTTTTTTCTTCAAAATACCAAACAGATCATGCATTTTAGCCATGCCTCATTTTGCTCAATTTGACATTTTTTAGCTCTGTTTGTGCAAGGGCAGATTCAGTGAGAACAGCACCATCTACAGGCCTGGCATATGTACTACAGCGTCTCCAGCGCTTTCGAACGGCAATGGCCGTGTCTGTCTCCTCCTGATTGGTGGAGTTGGCCCAATAGCCGTAGCGCCACCGTCCTGACGTCAGGACAGTGTTCAAATCTGGATCAGTTTTTATCAGATCCGTTGCAGCCCCTTTTTTAGAGATTTGGGTATGGAGGAAAATAGAGAGGGTTGTGTTTTCTGACACTTGGTGAGTTCCCTGGAACACCGGGGACACATATTCATGTATAAAAGACGTACAAAAGTGCATTTTGCATGATAGGTCCCCTTTAAGGTACATTACATATTTATTGTAAAATGACTGTCCAAATATGTCCTGCTTTTATTTCATCAACCTAAATCCACCAATGTTTGCTACCAGTTGTTTTTAATGTTGTTTTCATGACATCAGACGCTGTTCAAGCTGTTGACTGAACAGTGCACAATGGTCCAGAAATAAACGTGTTGTAAGAGTGGATGTTATTTCCCCCCTCTCAAACACAATGGAGGTTGTGTAGGTGGGGTTCATGCAGACAGACTGTAGACATCAGACTCAAACAAACACAACAATAAGAGCCACATATTCAAATGGTCTCTCCAGTTTAATTCAGATGAACAATGTTTGTCTAAAAATACAGTGAGCTTGTTAGTCACTGTGAGGTAAACTTGTCAGGACCGATAATGGCCGATACGTTCATTCACCTGGCCGTGTGCAAACAGGTCTGCACTATAATCCACGTTTACCTAGCAACAACTGTTTGCTTTACACTGAGGCACTCACTCCGTCACACAGAAACACACAGCTGATGAGCCACAGAAATATAAGCTAAGATGGACACTCTTTGTTGTAGGTGGGCATGGTTTCATTACAGAGGAGTGAATCTTTGACTTTCATTGATTCTCGGCTGACTCTGTCTTTATCTCTGAGCTGCAAGGGTGTGTGTGTTTCCCTACAGGCTGATCATCCACTGTGAGGACAAACACACCGACGCAGTATAGAAACACACACACATTATTTCACTCAAATGAGGTCAGAGGTCTGAGCCGGGGCTAATTATCTTTCCAGAATGTGAAGGAAAGTCCTGGCTTTTAGCTGGAGGAGGATGACGCAGATGAAGCTGCCACCTCGACAGACGGTAACTCAACCAAAACCAATTAAGTGTGGCAAATAAATGTGAGGACCTCGACTGCACTTCCTGCTCATCTCAGAGCACTATATGGTTCAGTGACATTAACAGTGTTATGTAGCTTTTTCACAACGATACCCTGGTTTTGAGTGTATACTACATACAGTTTTTTGCAAGATTTTTAAAAGTGATGTTGAAATTGTTTCATAACATATTCAAAGTCATTTATGCTGAAACAACTCATTATCAGACACACAACAGCAGGTGATTGGACTCCATGTCACCCGTCGACCCCGTGAAATCTGCTGCCTGTGACACTCAACAAGGACTCATGGTTGCCATGCCAACCTCCTCCTTTTGTCATCTTTGTTGTCGTTGTGGCCATCAGACAGAAACTGTGTGAGAAATCAAACAAGAGTTACTGTCATATATGATGCAGTACACTGAGGTTCAATTACTTTGCATGATTATCTCCTGACCTAATGGATGAACGGGTGTTTTCTAGCCTCTTATTAGATTGGATAACTTTCCTATTAAAGGCTAAACAGGACATTTATGGAGGCCCTTCCTTTTTATTCAAGATTTACATTATTTCCTTCAATACTTATTAGGCGAGGCGAGGCGAGGCGAGGCGAGGCGAGGCAAGGCAAGGCAAGGCACGTTTATTTATATAGCAACTTTCAACACAAAGCGATTCAAGTGCATTACAAAAAAGGTGTACTTTTCTCTCTTTTTTGTTTAGTGTCAATGTGGATTTTGTGCGTGTTTCTTTGCTGTGTTACATATTATATTAATGGAAAAGGCTGTATTTTATGGTGGTAAAAACATAAATGAACATATGGTGGGGAAGAAAAGGAGAACAGTAAATAGTAAAACAACAAAAGTAGAAAAGAAGGAAATAAAAATACACTTATATTGACATATATGGACATATACATACAATGGTAAGGAATACATCAATAATAGATATTACAAAAGCTGCTAAGAAGTAAGACAACACATTGTTTAATCATTGATAAAGGACTATGTTTTTACCTGCTGTCATTGAGAAGTGAAGTTAGTTAATATAGAGAAGAAGCAGAAGTCACATTGTTTGTTTAATAACCCCCTGTGTAAATGTTTCAGCTGTTGTAAATATGAGTAAGGCTATAAACAGCAACGGTTAAGAGATATTTCATTCATTCATGTCCACAACGCTCGAGCAGTGTTACAAATGTCATCTGTTATCAGAAGCTGCTGTAAAGATGTCGTCCTGGTGTCAGTCCGATTGGCATCACTTTGCAGGTGATAGACTGTTCCTCTCTGGGGAGACGTGACAGGGTTCACAGAGTTATCAGGAGGTGTGAAGGTCAGACGGACTGTGTCTCTGAAGGGCATCAGAGCGATGAGTCGATGCTCAGACATACAAGACCTCACGTTCATCCACCACTGAAGACAGAGATAAAGGACAATGGACCCACAGGAAGTGCACCAATCTGACAGGAAGTGTGCTGAATTTATTATTATTTTGTGTAATCAGTTGGCTCTCATATCCTGCCTTGATACAGAATCAATTTACATGTCACTCAATTCGGTGTTGTTATTCTGAAGTCTGCTTTCCTTTTAGCAAACAACCATATGGTCTAAAATCTCATAGATATTGTCTCATAGAAAAAAACTGCTCCAGTAAGAAACAGATGGGGATACATTTGTTGAAATGTATCATGTCTGTCATACAGTGGTCAAGATTTGTTAAATCACATATTTGTTTTACAGTTTCTAAAATGTGTGCAGTGTCAATAAACACGACATAATAGAAAACTAAAACATTGGGAATGCGCCTTTTTGACCTGGTCACTATGCAGTAAGAGTTTATGACTTTGGAACAAGGTGGAGAAAAACGAACTGTAGTCCAAGAACCAACATTAGAAATCCCCCATATATATATTCATATTAATTGATGTACACAGAGAAAAAGAATGCTTGCTATAACAAGAAGATCATAAAAAACGATGTCAGCCATGAGAAAGTAGTCCCATGATCAGTTAATATAAATAGGTTTGGATTTTTTTTCCATATGGAGCTCGTTCCATTATTTTGGAACCAAGATATCAAAGAGGTTCAATAAAAGCATGTATACATGTGCTTTAACTTGTTGCATTTAATTGTATTAGTTGCTGTTTACATTAGACGGTGTCCTGTTCCTCTTTACTGGGCCTGCTGGCAGTCCCTTAGTTGGCCACCAGAGGGCAGTGTTGTTCTAAATAAAGGCTCCAGCTCTTTGAGAGGAAGAGGATAACATCAGCGGTGAGTCAACTCTTCCCCGGGCTGTGGGGCGTGTCCGTCATGCCCCAAAACTGTGTGTACGTGTGGTTGTGTGTGTTCTTCCTGTGTTTCATGTTGGTTTAATATTCTTGCTTCACATGCATTGAATCACGCAGTAACTTCAGTTTGTAAAGACCCTTCGATCCAACATCCTTCCCATGATCACATCTGTATTTCAGCATTTCCCTCGTCTTGTCTGAACTAGTACCACCAAGTTCTGTGAACATCAAGTAGAAAAAAGACTACTTGCTGCAGCTCCATGTTTAATTGGCCTGCATACAAACGCGAAAACATTTGCTGGTGCCAGCTTTCACTTCGATCAATCATCAGAGCCGAAAGCTTTCTCAGCAGGTGGGGCCACTTATTTTTGCTCCAAGGGGCAGATCAGTGTGAATAGTCAGATTCCACAACAGTGCACAACAGAGGACGCAGAAGCACAATTAAAATCGTCTATCCACCCGTGTTTTCAAGATGCCACACAAGAGCAAGAAGAAAGGCCATGGTCACGATAAAGACCCCAAGGAGGCGAAAGAAGTAAGTGTTCTCTTTTACTGCACGACGTATCAAGTTGAAAGTGTTTATGGATGCACATTCTTTCCAAAACACCCAAATAACTTCAGATAACTCCGCAATATTTTCCATATGATTGCTGCAAGTAATTTGCAATTCACAAACGTCACATTTTCTGTGCTTTTTTTGGGAGTGTGTGCGACATGAATCTGCTGCATCGATTAACCTGGTCTTGAGGTCAGCATCGATCAATCTGTTGGTTGGCAGTGTTTGAAAATATATTGATGGTCGTGTTTTCGGTTGTTTGCATGCCCACATCTCCAAACAAAGATATAACTATGTCACTTTAAAAGTTTCTACTTGTATGTGAGTGGTCATGGTAGTGAGGAGGGAGAGTTTATCTGCAGGTAGGGACTTGGTTCTTTATTGTTATGCGGAAGAGCCAGATCCTGCTGGAAAACAATGCTTGTGCATTATTGTGAGTCAGGAGAGGGCTCCAGACAGCCCTGTGTGGTAATCATCAGATCATTGTGGGGAGTGGCTGAGGAGGCATGAGCGAGATCCTGCGGTGAGGAAAGAGGGGCAGAGCAGGGTGGAACAAACTTCTTTCAGAGTTTCTCCTCCTGATCCCTCATGGCGTATGCAGCATACTGGATGAGCCTTGTGAGTACATCTACTACTTCTCTCTCTTTATGTCTTTCTTTTTGACCCTCTGGCCATTTTCTCTAATCCATTGGCACCAAAAGAGACGCGGCTGCTTTCTTTTTTACCCTCTGGCAATTTTCTCTAATCCATTGGCACCAAAAGAGACGCGGCTGCTTTCTTTTTATTGTCGTAAACCAGCAAAACTTGTCTGAAATTGTATCTGCTGCTGAATGCGCGTTAAAACTTGTCATAGGCTGCACTAGATATCCCTTTGAATAGAAGTTAATCATATATTGGTTGCTTTGCCCATATTCTGTCACACACGCAGTGTTTATATACCAGGGTGTGCGACTGTTTAAATTGAGATAGGCTTCAACATGCATTTCTGTCACTGTTTCATTCATCTGTCATTCCTCAAGGCAAGGATCAGATCTAAATTTAATGCAGCATTCTTGCTACAAAACTAATTTCAATCTAATGCTGCACATGTTGTAAGATAAGACATTTATTTGAATGACATGCAGTTTTTATTGCTAACAGTTCTACCAAATATAATAAAATGACACATTTGCTGTAAATGAGATGTATTTGGTAGCATTAGATTTACACAAAAAATGTTGAAAAAGCATGAATAGCAACAATTTGACTTGATTTGCAATTTGACTGAACATGAAATACTTTTCATCAGATGTTATATGAATAAACTACCAACACAATAGTCTAAAGTCGTGGCATCCTGTGCAGAACTTCCATTGAATTTATTGGCAACAGATCATTTGGCATGCACAACTACAATCTGGTGTTTGATTTTTTGTGTTTTTTGTGTGTAGAAAGGAGAGGCTCCTGCCTCCCCACAGATCCATCATAGCAGCAGGTCTTCAAACTCCTATTCCACTGCAGGGTCCTACTATGGCAAGGTACTGACTCCCCTCCTCCTGCTGTAGAAGGATGAATCTCTCAAAATGCAATATAAAAGGGAACTATTACTCACTCAGTTATGTGACACAATGTTAATGTTACTTTTTCGTTTAATTCAAAATGGCTACTAAACAAACTTTCTTATTTCTATGGTTGAGGATTTCGGACCCAAAAATGGGACCACAGGTCAGAAAAGGAAGAACGTTGTTAAAAACCTGCTTTGTAGTAGATGAGTGCATACCATTCTGAGGTAAATGCTCATTGCTGGATTGCACGCTGTACATGTGAAGGAAGTATTGTGTTTGTCTCCCTCTGCTGAGTGCAAATCCTGAGAAAGTTGCTTGTGCTTGTGTGTTAACCTACACTGTTAACATTCCTGATCTTTTTTAAGCCTGGTCTCTGCTATCAAAATGTCTGTGGACATTGTTCGTTTAGTTGCTGCAATCATATGGAAACTATTGCATGACCCTTTATTTTTGGTGCACTTGGAACATTTTTCAATACTGTGACTCTTGCTCTTACAAAAACTCCTGAGCTGCTTTTTATCTTTACTAGTAAAAGTGTGTGTCTTTACAAGGAATGCTTTATTTCTCCCTACTTTTTCACAGATTATTTTCACACTTTCCCTGAGAGCCAACTTTCGTCTGACCTGTTATGTTAATGTTCTGATGTCTTTGTGTTTTATGTGCAAATGGCTAAAGAGTTCCTAATCTTTCATACCTGTCTGTCTAGTGCAGAAACTATGTAATCTCTCTAGTAATCTGATAACAGTGGACGTACCGTGTGAGGGGGTGATGGGCAGTTTGTGTAGATGTCTGCACTGCTGTAGTGAAGATAGTAGTGACTAGTACAACATGGGTCTAAATATATAGAAGAGGGCCAGATTAGCTGGCCCTAACTGGTCTCTGCTATCAAAATGTCTGTGGACATTGTTCGTTTAGTTGCTGCAATCATATGGAAACTATTGCATGACCCTTTATTTTTGGTGCACTTGGAACATTTTTCAATACTGTGACTCTTGCTCTTACAAAAACTCCTGAGCTGCTTTTTATCTTTACTAGTATAAGTGTGTGTTTTTACAAAGAATGCTCTACTTCTCCCTACTTTTTCACAGATTATTTTCACACTTTCCCTGTGAGAGCCAACTTTCGTCTGACCTGTTATGTTAATGTTCTGATGTCTTTGTGTTTTAATGGCTAAAGAGTTCCTAATCTTTCATACCTGTTTGTCTAGTGCAGAAACTATGTAATCTCTCTGGTAATCTGATAACAGTGGATGTACCGTGTGAGGGGGTGATGGGCAGTTTGTGTAGATGTCTGCACTGCTGTAGTGAAGATAGTAGTGACTGTAGTACGACATGGGTCTAAATATATAGAAGAGGGCCAGATTAGCAGAGGAGTCCAGTTACATATGCTCACTCTGACACTCCATACATGTTTATGAAACATCTGGCATTTCCATTCATATTTAATTTTCTTCTCTCAGGTTTGCTATTTGAAATGTTGAGCTTGCACTATCAGGTGTTCTTGTCACTAAAGAAGAGTATTTTTGTAATCTGATATTAGTCATACTAGTTCCTGTAGGTGTTTCTATTAGCAGACATATCTTCTTTTTTTTTCCATGTTACACAAGCTAGTTTTACAGGTTGGGTCATTTGGTACTTCAGATAGGGAAAGGTGTGTCTGTCTGACAGAGGGTGTGCCATGATGTGGAGACATGTGCACATGCCTTGTATGCATGTGTACAAGCATGTGCAAGCATGAGCCTTTTCAAATGTGTATACACCTTGCAACATGCAATATGTACTGCAGGGTCATATGCTGTACATGCTTTGTTTGTCTTTTTCTATTCATTAGGTAAAGATAGGCAATGCAAAGAAAACTTGTATGACTTAATTCCTTTGCTGTGCGTTGATCAGATGGTACAGAGACAAGGTTTTTGAAGTCTATAAATGGGGGCCTCCCCTAAGACAAAACAAAGACAACTTTTTTTGCCTGCTTTTCCACAAGGTTTCAGAATAGGGGAAATGAATGGGTGGAGGAAAGCGTCAGTGTTCGGGCCACTTGACATTCTGAGCCCTACTAACGTTTCTTGTATCACTTTGAGCATATGAACGGATTCTGTAACTCCTATATTAGTCTTTGTTTTAAATCATTTTTGGGATTACCTGCTCTAACTTTTAGTTGCTTTGCAGATGTTGCCATGGTGTCAGTGAGTCTGCTCTGGGCTTCAACTTAATTGTTTACATTTTTGATGTAAAGAGCTGATAAGAGTTCCCGTATACAATGAACCCCTGGATGTACAGATGGTTATCACACACACAAACGGGTTTGGTTTGATTCAAATCAAACGATTTCTGAGATGATTTAAAATATTTGTTCTCGATTGCATAGCCCATCAAAGCTGAGAATGTCTACGTTACTGACTGTAAAGACAGATGTGTGTGTGATGTTTATGGGTTCAAGTTGGACTGACCTATGACTCTGAGGTGGATTATGAAGGAGACTGCGGCTAAAGGGCGCCAAGGGTTCTAAGGAAAGCTATCCTAGAGATGTTCTCACTGCACTTGGCCATCGCTTAAGAAAGCTTTCCTACTGGCACAATCCTTACATATTGGACCAACACTCACATAAGCAGACTTATTATTCTCTGAAAATCAACTAAACAGATCTACAAATTGCCAGCGTGGGACGGGGGGAAAATATACAATGGTTCCCAATTTGGTTTGTTCAATAACAACAAATATGTAACTCAGAGCTAGTGGAAGTGGATTGTTTTGAAACCCTGGGCCTGGGTTAACCCTGGGTTAACAATGTTTACCAGGGTCTATTCTCAGCTCTCGACATATGCAGTGTGGAAAACACTGCATATGTTTGCAATCATTGGGTCATTTATTGACCCAATGATTTGTCTCAACCACTGCCACTGCTGCCATTTGACCGTGTTGATAGGTGGACACATTTGTCAGTACAAACTGTTATAGCGATCCTCCAGGTGTTTTCACACCAGCATGCATCTGTCACTTTTATCTCGGACATTATCTTTGCCTCACATCTCCCACAGATTAAAAACATCTGGAAAGCAGTGTGTAACATCCATAACTGGATGCACAACATTTTTATATCTTACAAGTACTTGTTTAATTATACACAACATTTCTAAGGTACCAGACCGCAACAGATAGACCTGTGTGTTTCAACAGTTTTTAATAATCCTTGTCTTCTGGTATTTATTATTTATGTGTAGCCTATCATATCTTTATTTTCCAAAGAACACCAACAGGGGTGTGGTTTGTTGCCATTTACTCCCATTATCATATTGCACAAGGATGGTAGAGGTTCCAAGGAATAATATTTAGCATCCTTAAAGCTTTCTATATGGCATGCATAAAGGAAGAGCACACTACTCCACTTGGACATTTAGATTTAATAACCATTTTTTACATGTGCTGCACAAACAGG